CACATACATGCAGGCAATACACTCATACACATAAAATAAAAATGATAAAATATTAATATATATACAGTGTTTGCCTCCATGTATGTATGTATACTATGTGCGTGTCCATTACTGACAGAGGCTAGAAGGGGACACTGGATCATCTGGAACTCCAGTTACAGATGGTTCTAAGAAACCATGTGGGTTCTGGGAACCAAACTTGGATCCATTCAGTGCTCTTAACTTCTGAACCATCTCTCCAGCCCCAGGGACCACAGTCTTATATAGTGGACATGGAGCAGGGACCCAGGCAGTCCTGGCCCACAGGCACTGTCAGCTGGAGCCTACTCAGGGTTCTCCACAACACAAGCTGACAGCACTGTCACTTTTGCCCACAGCGAGAGGGCAGGGACTTCCACGTCCAAACCCTGTCATGCTAGAGAAAAGCTACCCAGTATAAATACATAGCTCCCCTACCCCACACAGTGGGCCTCCCTTCACTGAGCTCACAGCAAGGAGAGAAACCCAGCCTCTGCATGAGGGTGACACATGATTCAACCCAAGACTCAATGATGCCTCTTCTCCCCTGTGCTACTCTCAGGAAAATCACCCAGGGTTGTTACCAACTTCTACAAACTCTGACAGTCACAGGGGCAGCCAGAGCCAGGTCTAGGCCTCATAGTTGCAACACCCTCTCTGAGGCTGTTGGCAGATGCCAAGCTCCTAGTTATAAGGCGCCACCTGCACTACCACCAGCTAGAGGAGGCTGTGATATTGGCACTTCACCAGCATCTCTACAGAACATGGCAAATGACAATGGCCCATAGCCCAGCATCCATTCTCATGTTCCCAACAGTAGCAAAAGGGCACTTGAATCCTGCCACCCTGTTCCTTCTCCTGACCACACTTGGGTCTGGCTCTCAGCCATTTGCCTGTAGGGCCAACTCTGACCCTTGCTGGTACCTCTCAGGTAAGGTCTGGTCTCAACTGGGGCTCAGAGGCACCGCCACCTGCCATTCCACTTCTCACACTGCAAAACCAACCATAGCTGGACTCCAGCTCTGCTACCAGGAGACTCCCACTCAGCAAGGCTGAGCTCCTGAGTAACTCTGCCACTGAAGAGAGAGAACACATGAAACAACAAGTCTCAGACCAGGCAGAATCCACAGGTAAGAGGGATGAGAAGGAAAATGAGCTGAGGAGGCTTGCAGGGAGCAGAGCGACATTCTAGCAGAAGAGGAAGGGGCATCAAAGACATCTTCCCTCACCGACGAGGAGCAGGAAAAGCTGTAGGGAAATAATCACCTGCTAAGTGGGCAGAAGGGAAGAGGGACCAGTGGGTATGCACAGGAACAAACCTGTACAGCTTGGTGGTGTGAAGGGCAGATATGCAGGTGCTCGTCTTTGTTTCCGGGATTCCAGAGGAAAGAAAACTGGAATATGGAGAGAGTGGACAAAACGAGCTGGTTTTCTTGGAATTAAAGGGCTTGAGAACATCAGAGGTGACAAAGAAGAAACTCTAGCTGGAAGTGGAAGTTTAAGGACATCAGCAGTAACAAAGAAAAGCTGAAGAATTCAAAATTCCATTGGCAGCAGTGAATGCAGGGCCCAGGAAAGTCATCTCAAAGGGTGTGGGGAAGGGCTGGGATGCAGCCTGTGGAGGTGAGCTTGCCTAAAATGTGCGAGGCTCTGGGTCCCATCCCCAATACTACAAAAAAAAAAAAAAAAAAAAAAAAAAAAAAAAAAGGAAGGAAGGAAGGAAGAGGAGAAAAAATAAAGTATGCAGGAAGAGCCAAGCTACAGCTGAGTACTGAGCTGAGCTGTCATGTCCACCACAGGTACGAGATGATCAGCACCTGGAAGATCCTTTGAGAACACTCTTAGCATAAGTAATCCATCAAGAAAAAAAACTAAGGGGCTGGAGAGATGGTCAGCAGTTAAGAGCACTTGTTATTCTTGCAGAGGACCTGAGTTTAGACCCAGTACCCATGTCAGGTGGTTTACAACTGCCTGAAACTCCAGGGGATCTGATGCATATACACAGCATACATTTACACAGACACACACACATACATATAAATAAATAATAAAACAAATCTAAAAGAAAAAAAAAACTAAATTGAGGATGTAGGACAAGACAATATGAGTTAATGACTTGTAAAACTTTCTGCCAACTCCCCTCTGAACCATAAGAACCAGAACTCAGTGGGTGGCTCAGCGTCATGAAGGTAGGATCAGAGGGTACTCAGTCACTTGTCTTATGCAAGGGAGAGCACAGACACCAAGAAACCATAAACAAAATTAATGAATGAGGGAGCTGGCCTGGGGGTGGAGCGAATGCTCGGCATGTGTAAGGCCCTGGGTTCTATCCCCAGAACCACAAAACAGAAGTTCTAAATCATAAAAATACTATGGGCCTTTTAAAAATTAAAGAGCTCTATCATGAATACAAAGACAGTTTTTAAACCAGTGGGCAAAAAGTTGTTCTGCAAATCAAAGGTAGGAAAAAGCAGGGTGTGGTGGCACATGCCTTTAATCTCAGCAGTTTGAGGCCAGCCTGGTCTACATAGTGAGTTCCAGGCCAGTTGCAGCTACAGGGAGATGGTCTTACCTTTAATCCCAGCACTGGGGAGGCAGAGGCAGGCAGATCTCTGTGAGTTCAAGGCCAGCCTGGCCTCCACTGTGAATTCCAGGGCAGCTGGGGCTACAGGGAGACCCTGTCTCAAAACAAAAACAAAAAACAACAAACAAACACCAAAAAGGTGGGAAAAAGAAAGCTAAATAAAAACAGCAAAGCAAGAGCAAGTGTGGCACCCAGAAGCCTTTGAGGAGCTGCTGGTGTCTGAAGAGTGATGCACTGGTCAAATGGACTAAACTCATGAACAGACAGACTGGCCAGGTTAAAGATGTTAGCTAACAAGTAGCTATAAGAGACTAAAAGAGATGATAAAAGGTTACTATGCAAATAAGGACCCAAGAGACGGCTGAGACAACAGGTCAACAGCAGGAATGCTAGAGTCTAAGTTAAAAACTCCATAAAAGAAGGAATACATGACAGTGTGGTAATGGGAGATGGCCATGTTCCTAATAGTCAAAAGTACAAGCTGAGCTGCACCTATCCAGAACTTGAGGAACTGGGGCAGGAGGATCACAAGGCCAAGGCCAGCCTGGGCTACATAGTAAGACCATATCTCAAGAAAACAAACAAACAAAATTTTAAAAGAGGGAAAATACTAAGCTAAATCTGTAAACTAATTTCTAGACCCAAGTCAGCAAATGTTTCAGTCAGGCCTGTGAGGCAGATCTCTAACTCCAGCACTCAGGAAGACTGCAGCAGGAGGACTTCAAGTTTAAAGGCTGCTTCCAAAATCAAGCAAATGAAGTCCAAACACACAAGAGAAGAACATAAACAAGGAGGACCAATATACTGTGCCCAAGGCCTCTGGGATGGCAAAGCCTACAGCCCTGAAGAGTCCCAGGACTAGGCTGCCCAGAAGCCCCAAACTCACCGAGGGCTCACTGTAACAGAGGTCAGCCTGAAACGGCACAGAAATGAGCAGCTGTTCTTCAGGACTTCGCAGGGGCTTGTAGGTTCTGGGTCAAATCTGCCTCATCACCTGTTTCTGTAACAAAGTTTTACTAGCTCTAGCCATGGTCACTGTGTTCTGTCTGTGGCTGCTTTCAGAGTGGAAGAGCTGATGTGCCCAGAGAGCCAACATATGTATTCTGTGCCACCTCTGCGCTCTGCTCACCCTATGCACAGTTAAGTCCTTTGGCTCCTATTTCTTGGATTCCCATAGGTAGCGCGCAAAAGACTTGGGCAGGGCCACTCTGAGAGGGTAGCAGTCATAGTTGGCTACCTCTAGGCCTTTAGAGCTCTGTGACCTTAAGATTTGAGCACACTGTGCATCAGAAGATACTAGCAGCCTCTGCTCTGCTCCAGCCTTCAAAGCAACGCTACAGGTTTGGCTGCCAAACACTCCCACATGATCCTCAGTGTTTCCCACCACAATGTGGATGTTCCTGACCAATGTGGAGGCCAGCGGTCAGCCCGGTCCTCCTTGCAGGCACACAGCAGTGGCAAGGCTGGTACGTGAACAATGTGACATTTAGTTAGATACGATCGCAGCCAAAAGATCAATATGAGAATTCCTAAGAGTTACAAGAATGAAATATATTTTTCATTGATTTGTTGTTTTAAACCATTAAGAAGATGGGTAAGCGTGTTAAGCAGGGTAAACACTCAGGGCACTGAACATACCCCAGTTTTCACACCGTCATAGAAAATCAATCTCACTGACATACTTTCAAAGTTAAAACCCCCAAAGCAGAGCATACTCCTCAGGTCAAAGACTTGCAACCCTGAAAGGGTGAGACACCACTCTACCAGCAGACTACACTATGGCCCTGCTGTCCACAGGGCTGGACTTCAGTAGTCCCTTGGCCCAAATTTACTCCCATAGTTGCTTTTAGAAAGAATCATAAAAATGTCCCAATCTCCTTTTTTTGTTTAAATTGGCCAAGTGGCACCTATTTGCCTGAAGCACTAAAGCAGACAGTGTGGGAGAGATGGATCGATAGGAGGAAATGGAGAGGCTGGGGCTCCACACAAAGTTAGGCTGCCGCGCGCTGACATTATTGATTTTACCTAGTTCAGCTGGCCTTGTAATTAAAATGTAAATTTGAGAAAGAGATTATGTCCTGACAGAAATGGTAGGATTAAGGGGAAGATAAAAGCCCCTCAGTGAAAATTCAGAGGAAGAAATGAGAAAGAAAAAAGAGCCTGATTTCCTCAACCGTGTGGATTTAGACTGAATCTAACACTTCAAATTCGCCTCTGTTTAATTGGAAAAACAGAGACGGAATATAAACTAGTATTATGAACTGAGCTCGCTATACGCTGTCTGTCCGTCCAGACACTCAGCCTGGGCTGCTGGCTTATTTCCCAGAGCTCTCAAGGGTATTTCCACTTGATGCGACGCTCCCTACATTCCAACCTGCCAGGAGTTCAGTGCAGGGGGCTGGTGCCCTCCCTGCCCCAGACCCGCTATGAATGACTCCAAGCACCATTACCCATATTAGGCATGTGATTTGGCCCTGGAACCCAGGGCCCACCAAGCCCTCCTTGGCTCCTGTGGCCCTCAGCCCAAGGGTGGCACTGATGGTCAGAATGTATGCATAGAGTGTGGCTGCAGCAGGCCTGCCCACCCACCCTCTGCCATGCTTTCCACTTGATGCCACTTTGAAAACACAAAGCAACAGCATCTGTTCCAGATCACATCGGTCATTGCTGCTTTCCAGGTTTAAAATAGATGTCCAGAGCCTTTCCCAGAAAAGGGTTGTATTAGAGACAGTGAAGCCACCACGGTCTTTGCCTTCCTGACAAATTAGGATGAAACCCTTCCCAGCTTTACAGACCCTGCCATGGACAGGTGTACTTGGCAGACTCTGAAGAGAGAATAGTCACACACAGGCAGGTGGGGACTGGAGTCCAGAGCTACAGGCAGTGCAGTGACTACTGCTGTGTTAACAAACCACCCAGCATTCAATAGTGGAACCAACTGACAGTGGTATGCTGAGATTTGTGAATTATTCTGTATCAGGAACACCCACCAGGGAAGCCTATCTCTGCTGGGCCTGGGCCAGGCTAGGATGACCATAAGCAGAGCTAGGCTAGGACTGCCAAACCAGGTCCTCCTGGGACCACCTGTGCGGCCTGTATCTTCTCACAGCAGTTTGCTCATAGCTGTATCCAAGCAAGCGTTCCAGCAAATGTGACGGGCTGTAGGGTCTTTTTACAGTCAGCTCCCTCTGCTGGACTCAGCTGGCCAACAGTCACAAGTCACCCAGATACAGGGAGACACAGGACCATTCCAATTCGGAACGCCGAAGAGTCTGCTCTGGCCCTGTCACTTTCCACTGGTGGCTGATGATGGCGTCACTGCTGCAGCACCTATCCTCCAGAGGTAAAGCTGAGGTGACAGTGAATGAGCATCATGAACAGAGGCTGCTGTCCTCACTGGTACTACCATAGCCATTACCAAGCCACAGACAGATACTTCCTCTCCTGGGATAGAAGGACATTAAGTAGTTCTTTGAGGACAAGCCCACTGCTGGTGTGTCACTACTGGCACTGTTACATGTGACTCTGAACCACTCTCAGCCTATGCCAAGTCGGACCTGCCACCTCTCCTGGAAGGTTGCAGAAACACCAGAACATGAGGCAGAGGCCCAGGCCAGAAAATTCTGGTGCAACCATGAACCCTCCTATCAGTGCTGGCTCTCAGGCTCCCATGAAGACTCTGGCCGTCCTCCAGTTTAGAGAGGAAAACGAGGCTGCCCAGGAGTGCAGGAGGACATCTAGGCAGACAAGACCCAGGTGAGGTACAGAGGTAGGTGCTGTCTACACTGCCTGGACCTTGAGGAGAAGGGTCCCTGCCTCAACTGCCCCACTTGCCCCACTGCACACTGTTCCAGACCGATGGCCTCAGATTCAGCCACAGCTGTACCAGCACCTTGCTAAACCTGGGCCCAGGGCCTGGAGGATGTCCATGACCTCCCATGGTATACCTGGAGCACTTCTCAGCACCCCAGGTGTTAGGTGTGGCATTGGGCTATGACCAACTTGGGTGACGTTTTGGTCGTGCACTCATGCCCCCAGATAGAAAGGTAACCTGGAAGATGGGAGAACATGTTTCAGGTGGAGATGGGCATTTGGCAAAGAGTAGAGCACATGGGTAGGAGAGGTTGGTAGATCATGGGCTCATAGGTTGAGGAGCACCATGAAGGCACAGCAAGGCTGGCTTCCCAGGGACATTTGAGGCAGGTAGGTATCAGAGGAGAGCTCTCCAGGGACAGGAGCTCCTCAGAGGGAGTCCCAGTGTTTGCTGGGACTCCTGCAGAGTGGGCTAGACCAGGTCATGCTCATCCAAGGGGTCAGGAGCAGCCCCTAGTGTGGGAGGTTCCTGACTCTCATGTACTCACTGACCCTCAGGAACCCAGTCTGCCCAGCAGATGGCATTGGGCATGGGACCGCGGGAGTGGAGGGGTGCTGAGTCTGCCTGGGCTAATTTGGCATGACACCCCCAATGGGTCATTTCTTCACACATAGGTCATCTAATCATCTAAATTCTTTTTTAAAATTTTCATTTTATGTTTGAATATTATGCCTGGATGTATGTAAGTGCACCTGTGTCATACAGTGCTCACGGTGGACAGAAGAGGGTGTCAGGTCCCCTAGAACTGGAGTTGGGAACAGTTGTTAACCACCATGTAGATGCTAGGATTTGAACCCAGATCTTCTGTAAGAGCAGTCAGTACTCTGAACCGCTGAGTTGCCGCTCCAGCCTCAACATCTAAATTCTTTGAACGATTTTACATTCTACCTCACAGACAGCAGTTCAAACCCACATGTGTATTTCCCCACAGAAGCCAGGGAATTTTCATTTGCTCCCTCTTGGCATAAGCAATGCCACCTGAGGCTGTGACCTGGGTCCTGGAGCCCCTTTAGTCCACACTTTCTCCTGGGGTACAGTAGGGTTCTTGGGGTTTTCTTGGAAAAGAGGAAAATCCTGGCGGGGACATGCCTGCCACAGTGTTGGCACAATGAGAAGCTACTTCTTGCTGTGAGGTACAGTCATCCTTGGGCAGGGGTCATGTCTGTGACCTCACAGATATCAAGTAGGAATAGGCTTTATTTATTGCAGCCTCCCCTCCATCCTGGTGCAGGTCCTATATAAGCACAACATCCCCATCAGACCACACCCTTGCCTCATAGCCAGGGCATCAAAAGGGCTAAGAAGGTTTTGTGAGATGAAGGCCCACCTTGTGCTAACCACAGGGAGGATTCAGGGAAAAAAGAAAAACTTCACAATTTAAATAAAAGCACCAATTTTTGGCCTAATAGTTGTACAGGCCTGTACAACAACAAATCCAAGGCCTGGCCCTCCAGGCTGACATGATCTGGACGCAATGCTCACAGTGTGGCCCTGCCTCCCCAGATGCCCTCGATTCCTGATCCTGCCTTCCCTGGGCCCACAGCTCACCATACTCAGCCCGTAGGTGGTCAGGAATGTGAGGCTCATACCCCTCCTTCTCCGGCACCTCCATGAAGTCCTCATTCTCATCCTCGCTGTCCTCCAGTGCTTCTGTCTGTGGAAACACCCCCAAATAGAAATAAGGATACCAGCTCTACCCAAGAGCAGCAGTCCAGAGACGGTCCATGAGCTGCTTTCTACAGGGCCTTCTCTGCAGTTCAGGCTTCAGTATCAGCTGTGCTGGGTCTTTGCTTAAGAGGGTCTTTAAGGCTGTTCTTACCCCTAAATCACAGTGCCTCCACCTGGCCCCCACGTGGGACCATTCCCTAGCCCTACCTGTTTCTTATGAGTGGCAGCACCAAGGACATGCAGAGCTGGGTCATCTGCATTAAGCATGCAGCACAGCCTGAACCAATGCTGTTACCTGTCACACCTACAGCTCTGCCATGCCCAAGTGAGCCGCCAGAGCCAGAGGCAGCAGTGTACCACTGGCTAGTGCCATGCCTGGGATCCCACTGCTCTCCTACCCTCACTGCAGAAACACCCTCTGATGAGGCTCCTCCTGTCCTACTTCCAACTGACCTTACATTCTTCCAGAGTCCTACACAGGCATAACAGGAGCCAGTAACCCAACCTTCCTGAGATCTACTCCACTGCCCATCTGCCGCAGGATGGAATTAGGCTTAGCCTGTGAGGGTGATAAAACCGATGCACCTGAGGCTGCAGCCTGGGCCTAGATGCTCCTGGCTATGATGTCCTTGAGACTGTGGTGATGCCTAGGGTTTCAATGCCCCTGCCACTTCCAAAGCTCCAGGTCAGAACTGAGGGAAACTTCCCATAAAGGGGGGGGGGGTCCCTGTCAAGTGAATGCCAACTAGTGCAGGCCCTCACAGTGCTAGAAAAAAACTGAAAAACTTAAACATTCATTTAAAAAACAATTCCCAACAGCAACATCTTGTATTCACACATGGTCTTCAAGGTTCTGTTTTCTGAAGGAAAGAGAGAGACCTACAGGGCATGTGCCACTGTATACCTAGCCAAGCAAGTCACAGCCGCCACGGAAGGGACCTGCAATGTCCCCTACTCATGTCTCAGTTCAGCACACTGCCCGCCCAGGTAGAGCTGGGCCCCAGTGTGGGGTTGCTGGAGTCATCAGCAGCCATATCTGGCCATGCCTGCTGGTCTGATGCCCGTTGGGGAGACTGCTGCCAGAGAGAGCATAATCAGATGCAAATGTACTTTGTTTTGGTGCGGCCCACAGTCGTGCTTCTGGAAAGCACAAGAGACATTAATCATCGGAAACTGTAATTTTTGTTATCAGTCTAACACTGATCAAAAGGGAAGCCTGTCTCCACCACTGACCTGTGAAACGTCCCAATTATACTCTTTGGAAATGACAGGGGCACTTAACTCCCAAGCTGAGCAAATGATGACGATCAATCACGTTTGAATAACAATGAGCCACGGACCTGAAAATTATTTTTGTATAGAATCTACCCAGGAATTTATGAAAGGTGGAAAGCAGCCCAAGGTTTTAGGGCATTATGGGCTCGGCTAGTGCAGTGCGTATCAAACACTAAACAGAATTTATGTGTTTTAATTTTCTAAAAGGTAGATGTGGACTGGGTGCTACAATGCATAACATACAGTGCCAGGTTTTAAATATGGGGGTCATTTTCATAAAATATTATGCTTATTGCTCACACCCTTGAATTTTGCTAGGGACTTTTTATCAAATTTTCATTCCCTAAAAAATACTCAAGTGCATAGGTAACTATTAGAATTCTACCTCCTTCTCCCCAACCAAAATCATTTATTTCCATTATTAAATTTGAAGCCTTGCAGTCTTCCCTGTTCTTAAATTAGCACCAATAAGGCCTTGGGCTGTCTGCTTTTCGTGCTCAGGTCTTTGCCTCTAAAAAGATCCAGGGTTTCTCTGGGACCACAGAAAGCTCCGACAGGCATTACTATACTTTACTTTGAAACTACTCACAATGGGAGAGCCACTCAAACTGCAGCAATCAGAATTTAGAGACGTCACTGTAATTCTAAAGTGAAGTTTGAAGGTTCCCATTTGCAATTTTCAGTCATACCTGGTAAATGGGGATGTGGCAAACCTCAGTGTCAAAGTTACTGAGGCAGCTGAGATAGGAGCTGCACCTGAGGGATGGGAAATGACATTCTGATGTGGAAAAAGGAAAAGTTCAGTTCTGAGCTCCTGCTATTGGGGCATTCCTGTGAACTGCTCAGGAGTATGACTGGAGGCCTGTTCAGAAACAAGAACACTAATGTCACAAGGGGCAGTCCCCAAGGAAAGGAAACACAGCCCAAGAGGAGGTTTAAGGCTTTCCTGGGAAGGTCCTGAAACTCAGATGACTAGCCTCCAATCACCTACAAAATCTAAACAATCAAGAGGTTATGACCACTGTGGTAGTGACATGGCCTTAGGGTCACAGAGTAAGTCACACAGAGGCCAGCACCCAAGGTAGATGGATGCCTTAGGGTCCTAGGAAAGAGCTCACACCTAGTAAAAAGGTTCAGGACTGGGGATCTCTTCCAAATTATGTCAAACTTTAAAAATTTTCTCGAGCACTTTGCCTTTAATCCACATGGGGGTCGGTTTTCTATAGTGATGAAACAACCCAAAGCAAACCCTGTGAAACCAGGGGGGAGGACACCCCTCCACGAGAGCTGCATGCAGGAGCCACACCATAGACTGGGCATCATGCTCACTCCTTTCTGACCTGTGAAGTCCTTGGATGCCTTTGAGACAGGGCAGGTAGTCAGAGCCCTGCCAGCCAATCAGAAGCTTCCTCCCAAGCTGGCCCCCCAGGTGGGAACTACAGACCCCCACGCAGGACCAACTCATCTACCCACAGGACAGACACAAGCTTCTACCCACCACTGTTGCCATGGTGGGGGGCATGGCTAGTTTTATACAAATTGATTCTCGTCCACAGTTAAAAGGATTTAGAAAAATGAGTCATCATGATCATAATTAAACAAGCAATAAAACGGCTAAAATATACAACGCAATCAGTTTACAGAAGTGGGGTGGTGAGTGCTAATTATTTGAGAAGGAATGGGAAGAGCATCTCGATGTCTAGAAAGCGGGTGGCTGCCAAGCCCACGGTCTAGAGATACAGCTGGGACCATTAAATAAATTTTGTACGATCTAATTAACTTGGTATGCAATCTCAATTACTTTTCACCCAAGAAATCACTTTTGTTCAGTTTTATGTGTGTCTATTTCCCTTTTAAAAAAAAATGATGTAAGGCCTCGTCAGACAAGTGAGTTCCAAACTGCATTTGTCTTTCAGTGGCTTGATGGCTATGCATTTAAAAACCCATTCTATCTTATAAACTAAAAATTAAACGTGCTCAGCTGTGATGGCCGTCATTGCATCTGCTATTTATATGCTAATGCCCTCCCTGGAAGGCCGTGCAAATTGCCCGGCCAGGCCAATATCTCATGTGCATCTCCGGCTGCCAGGGACGCACCTTCAGAGGACAGAGGGTGCAGTGTGCTGACCACGTGATCACACAGAACAGGCACTTGGCAGGCAGTAGTGTCAGCACTGAGTTAAACCTGCCCAGATTCAGGCAGGGCACCAAGAGCATGTGCTCCAGTCTAAAAATTATGCTGGAGGAAAATACCATTTTCTGGAATGACTGTCTCCACAAAGACTACCCTCATCAAAAGATCTCACGTAGAATTGAAGAACACGCAATGGAAGGCACTGCCCCTCTTCTCCTGATCCAAACCAGTGCAGTCCACACAAACCTGCCTTTGAGGCTCTGGCGTGAACAATGATCTCAGGGCCATGGGGGCTCCCCAAGGCAGGGACCTAAGAGCCGAGTCCAGCCTGTGTGCCTGTGTTAGAGGCAAGAAACCCTGGGTCACATGTGCCTTGAAGTCCATTTCCAGAGCAAAGCTAAGGCCAAAATCTCAACTGGGTCCAGGGAAGTAACTAACCCGGTAAGGGGTTACACATATTGTCAACCAAACTGAGAGCTGGTGGCCCAGGAAGACAACAGGCTAGATGCCTTGGGTGCTCTCAATGGACAGACCCAGGCCAGCCTGTTCTGGGATGCCATATACATGTGCTCTCACTGATGAGGCAGTGAGAGTGGTGTAGAGGCAGGGCACGTTATCATGAGGTCATGTGAACTCCACACATCAACATCTAATGAAGTATGAAATCACTAATCACTCTTTCCAGGAGTGTGCAGAGAAAGCCAACCACACAGGGGAGAAGTGCATCCTTGGACCCACAACTAAGTTTCTTCTCACAGGCAGAACACAGGGTCCTGTGCCCTAGGTGTCACCAAACTGAGAGCTGGTGGCCCAGGAAGACAACAGGCTAGATGCCTTGGGTGCTCTCAATGGACAGACCCAGGCCAGCCTGTTCTGGGATGCCATATACATGTGCTCTCACTGATGAGGCAGTGAGAGTGGTGTAGAGGCAGGGCACGTTATCATGAGGTCATGTGAACTCCACACATCAACATCTAATGAAGTATGAAATCACTAATCACTCTTTCCAGGAGTGTGCAGAGAAAGCCAACCACACAGGGGAGAAGTGCATCCTTGGACCCACAACTAAGTTTCTTCTCAGGCACGGAACAGGGTCCTGTGCCCTAGGTGTCATCCAAGTAAGAGCAAGCGGCCAGCCCCTGGGGACCCAAGGCTGTGTGGCCTGTCACCTTAGGTGCTTAGTGGTGCCATTTTCATTAGACAGTCCTTCTACTGAGCAGCTGGGTCTCAGCAAGTAGGCCAAGGCTTGGGGGCCTCCAGACTGTTTATTCATCTGTAAAATAGGAGAAATAAAATAATCTGACAGGGCGCACTCCTGGTGCCAAATGTGGGAAGGTGTTGAGAGCTGGGTCACTCTGGAAAGGCATGTGACTTGGCTGGACACTTAAGAGCCAGGGAAGGTCACAACTAGATCCATCCTGTAGGGTGTGGGCTGCTGGGGAGGATGCAGGCAGCCTGAGCTGCTGTTCTCCCATCCTTGTGAACAGACCTCGTGAGAACCGTGTGCCCAACACCCCTCCCCACTTTCTGCCCCTGGGTGCGAGCATGGCCTTCAGTGTGACAGAGGGAGCACAGCCCTGAGAAGGCTGTTTACGGGCCCTGCTGCTGCACAAGGTCCCTCAAGGCTGATTTAGTTCCCCTGCCTTCCCGTGTGTGCCTGATAGCCCAACATTTCATTCTCTGGGTTTTCTGTCTCTGTCCTTTTCACTACAAGAAGCAAATCCTGCACAGCCCAAGAATCTTTCTTCACACTTAGCAGGAGAGGAGCTGGGCTTGGGAGAGCTCTCAGGACAGCATCCAAAGGCTTGGTGGTAAGGCTGGTCTGACAGCCAGGCTGGCTGGCACCCAATGCAGAGAAGTAAGCAAGCTGCACAACATATACCAGATTGATTTGTGCTGCTGTGAGAAGGTGAAGATGAGTCTATGGTTACATCAGGGTGGCTGGCATATACCCACAAGACCAGAGAGCACAAAGATGCATGATGACCACGTGAGCAAGCAGCTGGATAGTCCCGGAAGGAGAGACTGGCTGTTGACAAGTCACAGACTGATGCCCCAAATCACTGTTCTGACCACCAGTTGGTGGGAATTTGCATTTTGTTAATTATACCATAGGAAGTAACCATGCTCAGAGCTACATAATGAAAAGGCAGGCAATTTAAAAGTTTTCAAAGGATTTTTATCAGTTTAACGAATGAGGCCGCCATGGATTATTACAGCTCTTCTGTAACAGAGCAGGTGGAAACTAACTCTACCAAACGGTCCTCCACATCGATCGAGTCAAGATTTATCCCTAGCCTGCCTCCAAATGGAGCTGAAGTGGACACACTCTGTAAAGCAAATGCTTAGACATGTTTAAACTGGCTTAAGTATTTTTGAAGACAAAATGTCTATGTCAAAAGGAAAGCAATACTATGCAGAAACCAATGGCAACAGACAGATGGGAACTTGGGAACTAGGCTGGACCCCACATCACCCAAGGAAAAAGGGAACCACCAGCACAGTCTCGTATCAGCCCCATCTTCCAGGACGGCCGGATCTGCCAAGGGTCTGAGCTGCTGTTTACGACTTGGCAGAGTCATATTTGTTCCAGCCTCACACATTCGTTAGAAGTTCTAAAATGTTTAAATCATGCATTATTGAATTAGTGTTCCCTGCTCAGCCTGTTCTACATGCGGAGTTAACGATGCCGATCCCGTGCTAAATGGGGAAACACTAGGAAGTGATTTAAACCCTCCGTAAATTTTATTTGGAAATTAGTGAACACCTCATCATGATTTCTAATTAAAATAGCTCTAATTAACATGGACGTTCATTAGCTCTCGCCCAGCCCCTCCCCCACCCCCACCAGACACCTCAATGCAGCAGCCCTACACAGAGCTGCCCACCAGCTACAGGAGGGGAGATGGGCAGATAGGCAGCCACGGCATCTATTCTGGGAAGCAGTGCTCACCTGAGCCTAGGCGCTGCCACTCACAGATCGGGAGCCACCAATCACTTCATCTACAGGCAGTGCCTCACTCGCTCTGCAGCTGCAGTGAACAAGATTTCCAAGGACTTCAGAGCAGTGCCTTTTGTTAAAATCAGTTTGTAGAGACGGGTCTAGGAAGCATCCATTCAACTGACTGAAGAGCAGAGCAATATCTGCCTTTCCCATTGAAGCTAGGGCACCATCAGCCCAAGGGCTACCACTTCAGCGGGCCCAGCCAGCCCTATGCACCCCCAGGATGACTTGGACCAGTCCATGGACCTGTGGCCAGAGGAGCCAGGGGAATCGTAGAGTGCCCTGAGGGACCTGCCTTCTACAGAAGGTCCAGCACAAGTAAAAGAAGTGAGGCCTTGCTGTGAGGGTCACATCCACCTGCTGAGATATGTTAAGAGGTACTAGCTGTAGGATCAGGGCAGCAATGGCCTGATCAACAAAGAACAGTGGGAACAGCACAGGCGCTAGGCATTACAGCAGCCTGAGACTGCCACCACATGCCTCAGGGAGGCTCTATGGTGCCGGGTCTGAGATACCCATGTCTGTGTCCCATGGGAGTTGGGAGATGATCAGTGGAACTGTCCCCACTCATGACAGCCAGAGCACTGACACAGCCATGCCCTAACTAGCAACTACCCACTGTGAGCCTAGCACCCACTGCATGCAGGTCCTCCAATAGGACACTAGAACTGCAGCTTGGTTAGGGCAGCTAGCAGGAGTCAGGGCAAGCTGGGCCTGAGGAGAGAGCGGCATATGCCCATGCTGAGCTGAGAACTCCACCCAGTCTTTTTTACTATAGTACTAGGGATTGAACCTATGCCTCAAACATGCTAGGCAAGCACTCTACCACTGAGCTACATTCACAGGCCTCTTTCACTTTTTATTTTGAGACAAGTCCTCACTGCCCAGGCAGTCCTTAAACTCACTCTGTAACTCGGGCTGGCCCTGAAACAATGATCCTCCTACCTCAACCTGAATAGTTGGGATTATAGGCCTGTACCACCAGGACCAGCTTCCACTCAGTCTTCTTGAATGCATGACCATTATCATAGGGGTAATAGAGTCATGGGCACAAGTCACTACACAGAAATGGAGCTGCCTTGAGCTTTGGGAATCCTTGTTGCAGCACCTAAAGCTGGCTGAGTTCAGTGCAAATCCCTGACCCAGGAGACCACATGTCTCCATCTACCATCCATATCATCTCATTCATCATCGACAAAGGCCAAGGGGACAGAAGCCCAGAAGACTACCCAGGTCTCCTCTACCAGCCAGCCATTCAGCAGTCAGGAAATGTGGATCTAAGAGATGAGGCTGAGGCAACAACACCCAGACAGTCTGGCTGACAAAGCCTCAAGCCAAGGAGAGTGGCTGGGCTCCTAAGACCTTCTGGGCTTGGAGACCTGCCAGTACCCATGCTGCTGCTGGTCCCTCTTATGACTGACTGTGCAGGCTGGTAGTACCCAGGCCTGGGGAGACCCATCTGTGCTACCCAACAGCTCTCAAAGCTGTGGCCACTGCCCTGAGCACTAGCTCTCTGAGGATATCCCTGGGCCCATCAGCAATATGATTGCCCACAGGCTGCAGGAGTTGGTCTTGGCTGAGTCATTCAGGGAGGGTTTGGGGTAGACAGCAGAATAGTGAGATGGCCTCCACTCCACAGGCTTATCTTTAGGTCACCTTAAAAGGGGTCCCTCAACACTCAGTCCTGGCCAAGCCTGCTGCTCTGATGATGTTGGACACTGAGTATATAGATTCAGAACAAACTTCCTGGCTACTGCAGTGTGGGCTAGAGCACTCACCTTCCTCGTGGTTGGAGAAATGTTCTGCACCGTAAACATACATGGCTCAAAATTCACAAAGTTGACTTAATATGTGGCATAGCAAGGTACAGCTCTCATAAGATACTAATGGTGCCTACCAAACATGGCCAGATAGACTCCGTTGTAGCACTGTGTACCCAATGATTGCTGTCAACACAAGGATTGGCAAAATGAAGAAGAAGCAAGGTTGCCCTCTGCTGGCCCATGTTACACATACCCTCTGCAAAGCAGGGATCAGCAGGCAGCTACAGAGCAGTCAGGGGGCTCCTTCTTTCCTCTGGCTCTAACACTCACTGCATGGCACATTCTACATCCAACTGGCTGCCAGAAAATGGTAAGTGGGGTCCATAAGTCCTAGGCATGCAGTGCCAACCACTTTTGGTTCTAGGCTGGAAAAGCAGGGAGCTTTGAACTTGATCTTTTCTTCAGTAAAGACAACATAGTTTCTACCTCAAAGCTAACTTCCAAAACAGAATTTACAGGTCAGACTGGCCAGGCCAGCTGGCCTACTGTCTGCAAAGGATGGATTCAAGGACTAGGCGCAGGATCCAAGTTTGGGATTTGGGTTCAGGCTTGGATTCGATGGGGGAGGTGGCAGATTTGGTCTATGTGTTCTCTGTTTGGAAACCATCCAAGAGGGGCTGGTGAGATAGGTCAGCAAGGTAAGGAAAGGCAACTGCCGAGAATCTGAGTTTGATCCCCAGAACTCACATGGTACAAGGAGAGAACTGACTCCTCCAAGTTCTGACCTCCAAACATGGGAGCTGAAAACTGGGAGGGCATGAGGCTGACAGAGCCTGGGCTGTAACAGCTTTTTATCTTTTAATCATAATCATGAACCCCAAGCTATAGGCTTCATGGCCTGTTGTGCAGAACCTCCATTCCATGTAGCCCTTAGACACAGGGTCTCCATTCCTATTCCAAGGGCACTGCCTCCTTCAGGTTGTTGCACAGCAATGTCCCCTACCTTCTACCCAGCTCCAGTGTACCCAGCACTGATGGCCATGCTGGGTCACTGCAGGACTGCACTACCTACCCACTACCAGGAACCCAGAACACATGCATTGTACTTCCCTCTGGCCCTTCCTGGACCCCCAAATCTCTAGCCCCAACTAGGGCATCAGATGCCCCTGCTCTCCTTGTGGAGATATAGAACATCCTCAGCTCCCTGAATCCCCAGAGAACCCAGTTCCTGCTCACAAAGACTATGGCTTTTCTAGGCCTGAGGTACCAAACAGTCAAGCAGAGAGGTAACCTTTAGGTTTACATCCCAAAGGGCATGTGCCCATGCTCACTTCTGGCTGTTCCAGAGTATTCTATAGTTTTATTCTGGCTGACCATGATGCCCAGGGGGCAGGGTTCCCTATTTGCTTGCAACTCCACAGATGGGCTTCACTAGGCTGGGGCATAACTTGGTTCTTTGGGCTCTTAGGAGGTGCCCTTGACACAGGTTTTGAACACCTTGTATATATCCCTGGCTACAACAAATGATGAGCAGACAGCACCCTAACAGGAATGTAGCCACCATGACATGAGTTCACAGAGGCCCTGCTCAGGGGCAGGTCTTGCTGCTAGAACCCCAAGCCAAGGAAACCAGATGGGCCCCTGATGGGAGAGGCTGATCTGAGGAGGAAGAAGCCAAACTCTTCTGACACTCTTGACTCCTTCTTGCTCAAAAGGCTGAGCGCAGATTCCTATGACCTCTCTGTCCCTAGCCACACACACTCACCCTGCTTCTCTGCCCTCTCTCCGGCTTGATGTCCAGCTCCTCATACTTCTTCAGAGCAAGTTCCAGTTCTGTTTTCAGGTTAATGGCTCGTTTTAGGTGTCCACTGTAGATCCCTGCTCGGGTAAACCGCTGTAAAACGAGATCACTCACAAAGGCCTCAGGCAGTCAGTCTCTAGGAAGACTAGCCTGGCTAAGCCTTGTTCCTTCTTGAGGGAAGAAAGTTCTAGAGGGGAGGGGTGCTCATCCCTACCCAGGCCACTGTTCCTACCTTCTCACTCTGCCTTGGCTCTCAGCCTGACAAGTTCACTGAACAGGTGTCTGGCCTCACCTGGACCCAGGAGCACACTGCTGGCAGGAACTTGTTCCGGATGAGTTTGAGTGAGTCTCGGGCAGCATGGAGGACAGCGAGGTTGTCCTCATTCTCCTGCACCTTTGGACCATCTAGAAAAAGGCAAAGGGAGTCACTGAGGGATGCTGAGGCTAGCCGTGTATCAGAGGCCATAGGGAAATGTGACTTCCAGCTGGTCCCAGCCACTGGTCAACCCCGAGAAGAAAACAAGCTGTTCTGGACAAGTTCTGGGCAGTACTAATTGTGGTAGTTTGAATGAGGAATGTCTTCCATAGGCTCAGGTCTTTAAACATTGGATCCCCAGTTGGTGGCACTGTTTGTGTAGGTTGTAGGATCTTTAGGAGGGTAACTCTGGTGGAAGAAGTACGTCACTTTGAGAGTTCACAGCCTCATCTCACTTCCAGTCCCCTTTCTGCGTTGCTTTGTGTTTAGAGTTGGTGTGATCTCTCAGCTTCTTGCTCTGGCCACCTGCTGCCATGCCTTTCCTGCCATTAGAGATTCTCCTTCTGGAACCGTAAGTCAAAACAAACTCTTTCTTCCATTAGTCACCTTTGGTCACAACATTTTATCACAGCAACAAAAAGTAACTAATACAACAGATGTTCTAGCTCTGCACTGAGGCTGCCCCTCACATAGTTCCACTTCCTGAAGAGCCACTACTTTGGCTGTGTTTCCCCACCTAGAGGCCAGACTGCCCAGAGCTGCATTTTCCTCCCTCTGATCGTCTCTGCCTCTTGGTCCCAGGGTCTTAGTGATCCCTACCATCTTGCCTTACCTTAACAGGTACTTCCTGTCCTTTACATCCTCTGCTGGGTAGGGCCCCCATCATGGACCAAACCAGTATCTGTGTGCTTACAGGGCAAGGTACAGTATCTGCATGCACAGCTGAGGGGCTTACTGCTACCTTGTTCCCGAGGCTCCCTCAGGGGCGGCCTCCTGAAGCCCTCAGCACTCAAGAGTCGACTAAGCTTTGGTGACTAAGGCCTCCTCAGAAGTCACAGAGCCTGGATGCCAATCCCTGGGGAAAGGAAACCCACTACATTCACTTTCAAAGGGGAATCTCTGTAGAGGCTTAGGTCTGCTGGTGGATGATGAAATGATTGAAGGTAAAGGACCAAACTCTTTGGTGGATAAAGGTAATTTTAATTCTAAGAGTGGCTCTTTATACCTAATGAGCAAGGTCAGCCAAGGATACAGCATGCAAAACATAAATCAAAGTTCAAAGTAAAGGGTGTTTTTCTTTTTTGTTACTAACCAAACTTTTTCGCAGAGCTCTAGTCCATGAGAAAGGAAAACACAAGGCTATCCCGTCATTCTCACTATTCCAAGGCAGTGTTCTGCCCTGACTGGGAGGCAGAGTTCCGCCAATGTCCAAACATTCTCGTTTTCAAGGACAGCTGGACTCTGTCTTGTCCTTGATTCACCTTCTGCAGAACTGAGTTGCATCAAACCTCCCTAGAGGTACACTGAAGATCCCCATTCTCTCCAACTATACCCCACGTGGTGAGCACATGGCACCTATAAGGACACCTGGTCCAAGAAGGACAGACAGGTGGATGAGAATGCTCTTCCGTCATCTCACAAGGCTGGAATGCTGGGGCCAAACAAAACTCTGTGTCACATCTCTGTCATGGTAAATACACCAAGAAACCATGATGTGATCACATTTTCCTCTTAGGCAAGGTGACCTGGCAGGCCTCTGCCCAGGTAGGATGCCCATACAGCCTGCAAGGGACTCTGTGCCCTGCTCATAGCCTCCCTGGGGTAGGGCTACAATGGCAGAGAGGCCCAAGAACTCTCTGTGGTTGGCCCATGGTGACAGAGGCCTGGCAGGGTGGCAGAAGCCCAAACAGAGCCACATAGGAAGGATAAGCCTGATGGAGCTCCTCACACAGCCCAACCCAAAGAGCTGCTGTACCCAAGGCTCACCTGGGACAACTCAGTACCAGTGAGGGAGCTGCAGAACTGCCAGGCCAGAGAGTTCAGGGAGGCACTGAGCAGCACCAGCAGCCAGTTACCTGAGGAGAGTTCGAGGTCCAGTGTGTACTTGTGGGAACCCAGGCCATGGCTCCGAAGGAACTCCTCTGGATCACCGTCTTCACTCTCATCCCCTGAGAGGTCTTGTGTGGCTGTTGGGGCCAGTACTTCCAGACCAGCCACAGGTCCTACACTGCATACAGAAGCAGCCAGGTCCTTGCTGCAGCATGGCTGCTCCTCATCCTGGAGTACAGGGGGGCCAGACCCACGAAGAGCTACCAGGTCTGGGCTCAAGAAACAAGGGGCACAGGCCTCTGTTGTACCAGGTGCCTTGCCAAGGAATTTGGTCTCTGGAAATGGGCCAAAGTCCAAGGGCACCAGCAGCCTAAAGCAGTTCTCCACTTCTGTCAGGCAGCATCCCATTTCATCAGCCATTTCTGCAGAGGTCGATACACCTAATTACTCTGTCACCTGAGCCAAAGAGCACCAGATAGCCAAGGCTGCTCCCAGGACACCAAGGGGAGAATCATGGTACCTCCAAGTAAAGCAAATGCCTTGGCATGCATAGCACAACACTTTTAACTGCTTAATAATGGACCCACGGGGTTCACTACACCCACATGGCAGCTCACAACTGTCTCTAATTTCAGTTCCAGGGGTTCTGATGCCTTCTTCTGGCTTCTGAAGGCACTGTAGATATGTGGCACACATACATACACATAGGCAAAACATTCATACATATAAAATTTTAAAAATATTTAAAAACAACAAAACCACCCAGCATACCAGCTCAGTCCACAAGGTCCTTCTGATTATAGGAACCCATGTGACCACCACCACAGGCCAACCTTCCATTTAGGATGGTAGTCCTGCCAGAGCAGGAAATGCCACTACCACTACACACCTTCAGGGCACCCCTTCCTGGCAGTCCCTGAACCACCCATAGCACAGCTGTCGGCCTTAAGCTTTCTGGAAGGCCTGGATTCCAAGGCTCACACTTAGGACAGGTGAATGTGGGAGGCTCTAGACATAGGAAGAATCCCAATCTCTACCTGAGAACAGAGGGCAGCTGGCCCATCTCACAAGGACCCATCTTACAAGGCTGGGTCCCAGGATTTGGAGAAAGGAACTAGCAAGAACAGATGGGGACCAGAGATGACTGGGCGAGAAGGCCTCCAGCTAGTGACTAAATGTAGATTCCTTCCTGGATTCACACTCATACCTAGCCCCTCTGCCCAGGGAGTCTCACAGCAAGCAGCCACGGGGGATCTAATTGCCAGAAGGCACAAGAGCCGCAGGCCATTCTGCCTTGCAGACCTGCCTGCCTGGGCCTCCCTGACTGGGTTTCAGGCTGGGTTACAGGACAGCGGGGGTCAGGCACAGAAGCTGAGAGGACTCAGTCCATGAACTTGCCTTCCATCTCCTTTTCAGCCCGCTCAGCACTTGCTCTGTGCATTTTATCCAGGTGCCTCTGCTTCACCTCCTCTCGCTTCCTTTCTGCCACAGTTCTGGCATTCACATCCTGAAAATCCACCTGAGAAACTCAGAAGGTCAGGACTGCCTGGGACAAACACACCCAAAGTAAAAAAGATACAAAAGATACATTGGCATCCACAAAAGGCCAGCATCTCTCTGGTTGTTTGTCCACAGGATAGCTGCCTTGTCCTGGCACACCTGCCACTGTAGGTGGAATGGGGGGAACTTCCAGCTCCAAGTACAGCACAGGTAGGAAGCAGCATGCTCCTCTAACTGCCAGCTAGACCCAGAGAGAACTGGGGACCCCCCGCCACACACACACAGGGGTAACTATACACAAAGGGCAGGTCACCTGCTTGTGCTGCTGACAGGGGCATAATTGGGGCAGTGACAGGAAGGCTGGAAGACACAGCAGAGCCTGGTGTTTCATCAAGCTTAGCACCAGCCAGAGACCATGGCAGGACCCAGTAGGGCTTACTTGCAAGGGTAGGGTAGGTCCCAGAAGGTGGAGCCCATCCTAGAGCAGGAGGGGCACCGGGGACAGTAACTCTGGAGGCTCAGCTGCACCCTCAGGAGGGTACCAGGTACAGCTTTCCTTTCCCAAGGCTGCTCTGACCACTTGGCAGCAGCCCCCATGCTACCATCCAGCAGCCCTGCCCAGTCTGTGCACCCTGCTCTATACTCAAGAAACCATGACCCTCATTTGGTCAGCCTGCCTCCCCCACCCCAGGGAAACAGACAGGGCTGCCCAAGACCACCTACCTTTTTGGTGTGCTTTAGGAAGTGGTAGCCCAAGGCTAGCTTCTTATAGGCCTCCCCAAACTTCTCGTTCCAACCTTCCACAGCCTGCATGGCTGCCTGCTTCAGCCTCTGGGCTGCTTCCCATGGTGGTGGCAGGGGATGGTCATTATCTGTGCCCAGTGTGAGTTCCAGAAACTTCTGGAAGTCAGAAACAAGCAGCATCCTGAAATGATGAGACCTGGTGAAGAGCTCGTCCATGATCTGGAAGGCTGAGAGGCGGATTTCAGCATGGTCCTGGGTCAGCTGTGTCGTGAGCAGGCGGTAGGCATAATTCAGCTGCTCCTCTGAAGACCTGAGGGAACAAGCCAGCCTAACCAAATGCCCACCCACAGAGGACAAGTAAGTGCTGCTCTTTGTGTACAGACACTAGTTATAGTGGCAGGGGCTATGGTCTGCATCCAAGCTTCATTCTCCGCTTCTGGTGTTGGGTGGGCACACCAGTGTCTGAGCACCAAATGTGTCCCATTCCTGGACTGTTTCTGTACTGCTCATGAGCCCAGAACATTTCCATGATTTTCAAGTGGCTAAAACAACTGGGGGTGCAGCACAGCGGTAAAGCACTTGACGAGCATGTATGAGGCCCTCAGCTGCATCCCCCAAACTTCAAAGATAAACACACAGATGAAGCATGTGAAAGAAGACCTCTTGATGTATGACCCTTTGGTTAAGAATCAAATGACACCGGGAGGGGCAGTGTACACCTTTAATCCCAGCAGAGGCAAGCAGAACTCTGTGAGATAGAAGCCAGCCTGGACTACAGAGCAAGTTCTAAGCCAGCTGGGGCTATAGGGAGACCCTGTCTCAAACAACGCCAGTATCCATGGATAAAGTTCTGCTACAACACAGCTACCCCTGGACAGTCCCTAGCTGCTTTCAGAGTTAGTACCGACACTGTACAGAACTTTCACAGGACATCAGTGAGGCAGAACAGGACAGACAGCAAGGTTCAGAAGGCCTCGTGGCTACACGTGGTGGTGCACGCCTTTAATCCCAGCACAAGGAGGCAGAAGCAGGAATCTCTTGTGAGTTCAAAGTCAGCCTGGTCTACACAGCCAGTAGTAAGTCCTAGGCCAGCCAGGATTACATAGTGAGACCCTGCTTCCAACAACAAAAGTCAGCCAGCCAGCCAGCCAGCCTTGTGCGAAGTCTTACAAAATTAGCACATACGAAAAAATAAGTTGGCGAAGAGGAAGACTGGAATCCCAGCTGAGGCCAACTAAAACTGGCTGGTGTCACTGGCACATGCAGAGGTACTTTGGAGTATCTGAGAGTAACCAAGGGCTCATTATAATACTAAAATGTACAACCCTGGGTACAAATTTAAGATGTCAATGAGATATGCAACGCATGAGGCTGTATGTAGAACTACACATGACAGCACATGTACAGAAAAATTTGTGGTCAGAAAATGAGCTACAAAAGCCCAGGCTTAGATAAAGTCCAACTCTGTACAGCAGGGCCATCTGAGCCTGCGGCATCCTGCTTCCTCCCTTGCAAGTATATCCTTTCTTTTTCTAAAAAAAATTATTTATTGATTACTGGTCTATGTGTGTGTGAGTTCAGGCATGCACAGGCCATGGCAAGAATGTGGAGGTCAGAAGACAACTTTCAGGGTTGGTGTTCTTCCTGCAATCAACTCTGGTTGTCACTGGCACAGGCAGTATGCGAAGTGCTTTCACCCACCAACCATCTCGAAAGCCCCGAATTATACCCTTTTAAATAAACTCTTGCTTTGCTTGCTGCTAGCCACGTAGCTTCACTCAGTTTTTTGTTCTGAGACACAAGAACCTGGAGCCCCTCCGGAAGTGCCTTCTGAACCGTGATACCAGCTGCTATCAGTTGGTGAGCCAGACAGAAGGTGGGATTTGTTTCTACTCTCTAACTCTACTCATTCTGGGGGCACTGGTTAGGTACTTAAAAGTCCTTAGCATACCAGGGCGTAGTGGCCCATATCTTTAATCCCAGCACTTGGGAGGCAGAGGCAAGCGGATCTCTTTGAGTTCAAGGCCAACCCAGTCTACATAGTGAGCTCCAGGACAGCTGGGGCTACAGGGAAACCCTGTCTCAAAAAAAAAAAAAAAAGTCCTTAGTATGTTTGCTGCTTGAAGACTCCCATGACAAGAGCATCTGATCATGAGCAAAGGTTTTCATAAGTTAGCCCTTCCCAGAAAATGGTCATCAATCAAGGCAGCTGTAAAATCACACATCACCATGTCCTGTGGCAGTTCCCTGCTAAGGGCAAATAACCTTAGAGGAGACCCAAACCCTCCCACCATTCCTCAGTGATCACTTTCCTTCCTTTGTGTCCCTTTGTCACTTGGAGATGGCAGGCAGAGGGTGGAGTGGGGCTGTCTGGGAAGTTACTGTTGGACAGATGCCAGGGGTTCAGGTCACTGCATCTGGCTGGTGTGGTGCCAAGGGCCAAGGTACAAAGGCAGCTAGCTGTCCAGCTGGCTCTGGGCAGTGGCAATGGTACAGTGGACCTGGGTCTGAGGCCTATGTGGCCGCTGGCTCTGGTGCATGCTGTCACCTCCTTGGATGTTCCTGCAGTGTGGGAGCCCTGCTCAGCTCTCCCCAGTCTCTCTTTTTCCTTCCTTCCCTATTTCTTTCCTGCACCAGCATGCTCTACCCTCTTTTGGTTTGCCTTGTCTTCCCATTCATTTACTCTAGACAATCCATCTCTGATGGCACTGATTCAGTCTTTTAGGTGGTAAGACACTCTTACCTCTCTTACACATGAGGTCCAGAAGACTGCCTATTAACTTGGGTGACAATCTGGAAAAAGACCAGAGTCAGATGCAGGTAAAGCTCTTCGCTGATAAATCTAGCTGCCTGTGACTTTTTAGAGCCTCTCAGTAAAGAGGCCTTTCCCAAAGGCAGAAAGAAATGTACCTACGGCAGGGGGCTTGCATGTCAGTCCCAGGAACGTTAATGAGAGACAACACTAGTGACTGGCTTAAACTCCAGCTAAGAATGAGTAGACACAGAAGTGATGGGGGCTCAAATAGTGTTTCAGACCACCTCAATTATGAATTACACTACACTCAATTCACCAGAATACCTGAGAGCCTGATGGAACTGGGGATGTCCTGATTTGTCAAGTCTTATTGCGCACTCTTACATATGAGCCAGAGTAATGTCTCTCCCCTTAGGATACACCCTCAATTATCTTGGACTTGCTACAGTGCACCCTCAAGAACTGAACTGTTTGATTATGAGCTGCCCTGAGATGGCTCAGCAGGTAGACTGCTTATTGAGAGACCAGAGTTTGATCCTTGGAACCCATATAAAGGTGAAAGGACAGAACCAACTCAACAAAGTTGTCCTTGACCTCTACATATGTACAGTGCCACCTGCCTCTGCATGCTCACGCACACACACACAAATAATAAATTTAAAACTTTTTGTTTTTTGAGACAGGGTCTCACTACAAAGCTTTGGCTGGCCTGCAACTTGCTACTCATTATGTAGACCACGCTGGCCTTGAATCACAGAGATCAACCTGCATCTGCCTCCTGAGTGCTAGGATTAAAGGGATGCACCAACACACCCAAAAACATTTGTTGTTGTTGGGTTTTTCTTTTTTTGAGACAGTGTTACTATGTAACTCTGGCTGATCTGGAACTCATTTATGTAGACTAGGTTGGCCTGGAACTCAGAGATCCACCTGCCTCCATCTCCTGAGTGCTGAGATTCAAGGCATGTGCCATCACTCCCCACTAATAGGATGTTTTTGTTTGTTTTGTTTTTTGGTCTTGTTGAGACAGGGTCTCCTGCAGCCCCAGCTGGCCTGGAACTCACATAGATCCACCTGCCTCTGCCTCCCGAGTGCTGGGATAAATGACCTGCCCCACCAGGCCCAGCTTAGGATGTATTTTTATTAACATAAATGCTCCTACTTTATAACACATGGAAAGACCAGAGGCAGGAAGCTCCAAGCCTATGCTGCATTCTGGACCCACAAACGCACTGGTGTACAGCCCCAGAACTCTGCTCGCTCTCAACCAGCACTGCTAGCCAGGGCTCCTGTAGCTGGTCTTTAGGTTTTTGAGACCAAGTCTCACTACCTGGAACTCATGATCCTTCCATGTTAGCCTTAGGAGTGCTGGGATCACCGGCAAGTGCCAATTGCCATGTGATAAGGGAGGGAGGCAGAGATATACAGGTAGAAGGCTGGACTGTGAGGGAACCCCACACTCTCCTGTGGTGTGGGTGCTCACCAGATCAGGTACCATGAAATGCTGAACCTAAATACATACTTGCACGTTTTCTTCAGTTCCTTCATTTTCTGGGCATTCAGTCGGGGTTCTCCAGAAGTCGTGAGCTCTTCTATCAGCTCTGAAAGTTTCTGATCCATATCTAGAAACAAGGTGCGCAGAGATGCTGAGTTACCATCCAGTACTTCACAGCTTTGGTTTATCAACAAAGCTTACTTGGGACTACTCCAAGGGCCCTTGGGGCGGGTCGCTGGACGCAGTCTCTATAGGGTGCCTCCCTGCGAAAGGACAATTCAGTGGGGTAAGTCCAGCAAGGCCTTCTGGGATGAATGCACTTCTAAAGGCGATGACTCAAGCGGTCTGCAGCTAGGGTGGGCGACGTCGCCACCCCGGCCCTGGCGCGTTTGGGGGGCAATGTCACTAAGTGATGGACTGGCCTTCACAAGCTGGCCGCGCAGGCTCCGCGCTCGCTCACTGCAGGCGGCAGTCGCAGGGGCGACGGGTCCGGCCCGCGAGGCCGAGGCTCTGGCCGGGCACCACCCGCGGCGGCCACACTCGCTGACCGACCCGCCTCCTCAGCGACCCCAGGGGCAGCAAGACGCCCCAGCAGCCTCCGACTGCCGGATGTGGCCGCTCCCTGTGCCCACCCTTTCCGACAGAAGCTGCGCCCGGTCACGTGAGCCCGCGTGCAGTAGCCATTGCCTCACGCAGGCGGGGAGGCGCAGGAGCGGAAGTCAATGACGCGACCGCCCTCACCCCGCCCCTTCCTGACGAGGCCCCACTACTTCCGGTGTTTGCCCTGCCCCCTCGTGGCTCGGGGATGCAGGCGCGAAGACGTCATAGCTCGGGGACGCCAGCGCGCTCCTGGCGGGCGACGCGCGAGAAAAAGGAGGCGGGAGGGCGCGGCAAGTCTTAAAGGGGCGGCGGGGGCGGATCCCGAGACTGAAACAGGCCCAGAAAGAGGCTCCGCGGCCGCCTGGGAAGGTCTTGGCTCCCGGCACTAGCCTGAGGGCAGCAGAGGAGGCTCGGACGGGAGTCTGTGTGCGGATCCCAGGGCCAGAGCCGGCCCCCCCGTCTCCCGCAGGTACTGCCGGTGCGGGGCTCGCCTTGATCGGACCAGCTCAGCCCCGGGAGCCGGCGGCCGGCGAGCGTCAAGGGAGCGGTGGGTGCGCGGCTGTTTCGGGAAGTGCACGAGGCAAAGCCGATATAGCTGCATGCGGGGGGTCTTCCTGCTGCGCGCGCAGCCTCAGCCCTGCGCACCCGCTCTGCTCTCCGGAGTCCACCCTTCCTCCTCTCGGTCTGCAGAGGCGGCATGTAGCATGTTCCTGTCCTGAGCTTATCAGCCCCGTGCGCCTTACTGCCCCATTCGTATCACTTGATGCACATCCATCCTTCTCTGCACCTGGATCAGAGACCAGAGTCAACCAGACTTTTCCTCTCACCCTGTGTCTCGGAGGTGGTAACTGTAGTGGCCTCCCGGTTTCACTCACACACAGACAAGAAACCACAGATTATATATACATATATATGTACATATATAAATATTTTTTTCTTCCCTAGATAAAGAAAATGGAACGTCTTGAAATTTATTACATTGTTTATTATACTAGTAGGCGAATGGGCTCGTGTGGAGGGAGGTAAGAGGACAACTTGTGGGAGCCGGTTCTCTCCACCATGTGGGGCCTCAGAATGGAATTTAAGTCAGGCTTGGCATCAAGTACCTTTACTGGCTGAGCCATCTTAACAGCCCTGGAATGTCTTAAAGTTGTAAAAGAAAAGGTGTTTTCAGGCTAGACTTGTATGTCAGTGCAGCAAAGAATCCTTAAAAAGCTGAGCTGACCGGACAGAAGCAGGTGGCTGCATGCCATCATATGTTACAAGGAGTTCCTTCTGTGATAGCAGGTGCAGGTTCTGAGCAACTGAAGGAATGAAGAACTGTAAATGAGAAAACTGAGGAAATAAGTTCAGGTTTCTTTTATAAATCACAGCTCAGTGGGTTATAAAGTTTAAGGTACAGACAAAAAAGACAATAGCCAATCAACGGCGGGGGTGGGTGGTATTGTATTTTCCAAGGGTCACATTCTTACATAAACTGGTGTAATACTGCTTGAAGCTACACTGTACTAAGTCACATAGTCTATGACATTTCAGTTGATGACCAAATACAGCACCCAATGACACAGCAGACTTTTAAGTACATTTTGTGATGTTCATAAAGCCATAATAACTGCCTAATGATGCCTCTCTGAGGATATTTCTCCATCATTAAGTGAACCCCTAGAGCAACCAAACGAGCTACATCAAGGCTGGGAATGTGGCTCACTGATAAAAGCATGGATGAAGCATGAATGAAACATGCATGAAGCTCTGAGTTTGACCCTCAGCATCACACAAAAAGGCTGGATATCGCTATGAGTCTTCAAAGATAAAATGGAATCATTTTAATCCAAAAGGATGCTGATAAAAACAAAAGAACAAAAAACAGGGGAGACAAATATGAAACAAATATTAAGACAACAGACTTAAATCCAGCAACAGTAAGAGTTACAGGCAGTGGTCTAATCCCAATTTCAAAGCAAAGATGGAAGCCGGGTGTGTTGGTACATACCTGCAATCCCAGCACTTGGGAGGCTAAGGCAGGAGTATCATCTTGAGTTTAAGGCCAGCCTGGGCTTCAGGGTGAGACTGACTCAAACAAAAAGGTAAAGATGGTGCTTTTAGCAGGACCCATCAACATGGGCTGGGTTCACACCAAAACCATGAAGAAGGTAACACAGGTCATCACTACCTACACCTACACAACAACCTTTGCATCAAAGTGAGTGTGCAAAGAGGTCACCATTATTCCCAGCAAGAAGCAACAAGAGAGCAGGCTATGTCCCACATCTACTGAAGTGGATTCAGAGTGAGCCTGTGAATCCTATCTCCATCAAGCTATGACAGAACAGAAACACTCATGTGCCGGAAGACTGAGTCCCGTATCAGATCTTTGGGGGGAGATCCTGACACCAAGGAGTTGCTGCCAACACTTGTGGACTTTGGCAGTCTCTAACCTGGAGGTTTCTCAGCCTACAGGTGGGATGAATTTCAAAACACTACGTGAAGTTGTTTCAATCTTTCCTGCTTGCTGTAATGTTTTCAATAAACCTGGCATAACAAAAACAAAAGATTGTCCAATCTTATCATGTCTACTGTAAACATTTCTAATTTAAGGTTTCAGTAAAGGATCATAGAGTATAGTGTGCAACACTGTAGGAAAGCTGAACGGCTACATTTTCAACATAGTGTAGTCCAGTATACAGCTGTCCTTGAACTCAAGAACCTGCCAAGGCTGCATCTAAATGCTGCATCACCGCACCCAACTCAGACAAAGCAAACTTTGTAACAAGAAATGGGCCAGCAAGGTGCCTCAGCAGGTAAAAGCGAAGCCTGACAACCTGAATTTGATCCCGGGAACCCACTGTGGAAAGAGCTCTTTCCAATGCTGTCCTCTGACCTCTGCAAGCGTATAAAACAGCAAACAGTATTTTTAAAAAAGAAGTATTAGCAGAGAGGACCAGGGTCATTTTATAAAATAGAGGAGTAAATCCTTTCAAGGACACAGTTATCTGAAATGTGTAGGTAGCCATTAACAGACACTCAAAATACATGAAGTGAAAACTGACAGACCTAATGGGGAAATAAAATCAATTATTGTTAAGGATTTTAAGACTCCTTTTAGTAATTAATCGAAGCAGAAAGAAAGCCAGTGAAAATGTGAAAGACTAACAACTGGACAACCAACTGGAGCCAGATGACAGGACACGACAACCAGCAGTGCCAGAAAATGCAAGGATAGGTGCAACATTCACCAAAGGTAGCCCATCTTCGGGGCTATAAAACAAGTCTCCACAAATTTAAAAGGATTGGAACTTTATATTATTACTATGTATACTAAGTCTTTTGTGGACATTTTCACTTTGGGTCAAAGTAAACCTCTGGAAGAGGAATTTCGAAGTCAGATACTGTTGTGTTTAACTTCACACTCCTCCAAAGTGGTGGTACCATCTTCCACACCACGTACCATCTTTTACTCTGCCAGCAGCACACTAGGATTCCAGTTTCCATCTTGACAACATTTGGTGATGTCATTCTTAGGCAAGTGTCAATACCACACTGTAATTTACTGTTGCCTGTTTTTCTTTGATCAAAATGTTGAGTTCCTTCTGATGTACTGATTGATTTTATTATTATTATTATTATTATTTTTTTGTCTTTTTGAGACAGGGTCTCCCTCTCCCTGTAGCACCAGCTGTCCTGGAACTCACTATGTAGACCAGGCTGGCCTTGAACTCACAGAGATCCACTGGGATTAAAGGCATGTACCACCACGCCCGGCAATTTTATTTAATTATTTTTATGTGTATGCATGTTTTGCCTGCATGTAGGTAAGTGCACCTGTGTCGTGCAATACCCGCGGAGGTCAGAAGAGGCTGTCAGATCCCCTGGGACTGGAGTTACAGACAGTTGGTAGCTGCCATGTGGGTGCTCGGATTTGAACCTGGGTCTTCTGCAAGAACCAGTGTTCCTAACCACTGAGCCATCTCTCCAGCCCTACTTTAAATTTATGTGTTTTGCCTGCATGCATTTAAGTGCACTCGTGTATGCAATGCCCATGGAGGCCAGAAGAGGGCATCAAATCCCCTGGAACTGAAATTATAGATGGTTGTTAGCCACCATGTGGGTACTCAGAACCAGGTCCTCTGCAAGACCAGTGCTCTCAACCCTGGCTATTTTTCTGTTCAAGTTGTTTGCCCATTTTTAATTGCATTATCTTTCTGACTTTATATATTCTAATACAAATTTGTTAGATATATGTATTTATACTTCACTGTCATTTAGTGAGCAGAGGTTTTCACTTTTAGTGGTCAACAGAACTTTTTCATTGTTAATGCTTCTTAATTTCTTTTTATTATTTTTATGTGTATGAGCGTATTGCCTGCATGTATGTGAGTGCAACTGTGTTGTGCAGTGGCTGCAGAGGTCAGAAGAGGGCTTTGGATTCCCCTGGAACTGGAGTTAAGGAAGGTTCATAGCTGCCATGTGGGATGCTGGGAGTTGAACCCAGGTCCTCTGCAAGAGTAGTCAGTGCTCTTAACCGCTGAGCCATCTCTCCAGCCCGTTTAATTTTTCTAAAAACAATTTGCCTATTCCAGAGTCACAGTAATATTTATTTTAAAAAATATTTCAAAAAATGTGTATGAGTGTATTGCCTGCATGTAAGTGTACCCATGTTGTCAAATGCCCACAGTAGTCAAAAGAGAGTGTTGAATTCCTCTGGAACTGGAATTATGGACCGTTGTTAGTAACCATATGGGTGCTGTGAACCAAACCTGGGTCCTCTGCAAGAGCAGCCAGTGCTCTTAACTGCTGAGCCATCTCTCTAGCCTCCACCATAATATTCTTCTATCTTCTAGAAGATTTGGTTTTAGTGTTTAAATTTTATGTGTGGAATGCAGAAGAGTTTGAAGATTATTTCACACCTGTCCCATTTGTTTATTGTTCCAACACTATTTGGTGAAAGTCCTTTCTTCCCAACCAATGATGCTAGCTTTGTTTAAGTTTAAAACTTTCCTCAGTGTATGAGCTTGGGCCCACTTGTGGATGTTGTCTTCTGATTAGTTGACCTTTAGGTCTATTTACACTGATGTATTATCTTTTTCTTTTGAGACAGGGTCTCAGCCCTGGCTGGCCCGGAACTTGGTATGTAGACCAGGCTGGCCTCGATCTCACAGAGATTTGCCTGCCTGTCTCCCAAATACTGGTATTAAAAGTGTGCATCACCACACCTGGCCCATGACACATTATCTTGATTACTGTGGACCAAGTCTTAAATCCAGCTGTAGAGTAGTAGGTAGCTGCAGCCATAATCACCATGCCAGTATTGCAACAGTGGCCACATTTTGTCTGGCATGCTACAGTGTAGGCTGCAGAGTCCACAGCCAAGCAGGGCCACTCACTGTTGACTGTTCTCCCGTAGAAAACTGCATGGTGTCTTCTGATAGTGTTACTGCTAGCCAGCAGGGAAGAGCTTAGCTCAGCCCCAGCTTGATTTCTCAGTCTACAACTGGGGCATGCAGTTTTCAAATCTTGTGTGCATCCACCAATGATGAAAGTAACCTGTAGTGTTGGGGGAAGCTTCGTGGGCTTCCACTGCCAACAATTCAGAGGTAGCCTACCCTGGCACTGAGATTTTCATTCAGGATCCTTACAGCTTCTGAGACTATCTTTCTTTAAATAAATATATTTCATTTACTTTTATTATGTATGAGTGTACTGCCTGCATGTAAGTGCAATCATGTTGTGCAATGCCCACGGAGGTCAGAAGGTATCAGATCTCTTGGAACTGGAGTTACAAATGGTTGTTAGCTGCCATATGGGTGCTGGGAAACGAACCTGGGTCCTCTGCAAGAGCAGTCAGTGCTCTTAACCAGAGTCATCTCTCCAGCCCCCAGGGACTATCTTTTTACATCCAATACAATATACTTTCAAATTCTGTTTTTGTTTTCTGTTTGAGACAGTCTCACTATGTAGCCCTGGCTGGGCTAGAACTATGTAGACCACGTTAGCCTGAACTCAGAGATCCACCTGTGTCTGCCTCCAGAGTGCTTGGATTCAAAGCAAGTGCCACCATGCCCAGTCCCTTCATTCATATGCTTTGCCAAACCTGCAAGGCATTCAGAGGTTGGCATAAACAATGAAACTGTTATAAAATGGATGGGCAGGATTCCAAGCAGATAAGAATTGGTCTTGGGACCCAGCAACTACAGGGAAAGTACACAACTCAACAAAGTCTAATACAGAAAACAAACAACAAAAACATCTGTGGTGGTTTGAATGAAAATGTTCCCCCAGAGGCTCCAAGCATTTGGCCATTTTGTCCCCAGTTGGTGGCACTGTTTTGGGAGATCTTAAGAGGCATGGCCATGTTGAGGGAAGTGCATCACTGGGGGTGGGCTTAGAGAGTTCTTAAGCCTTGCCAGAGCTCCACTTGTGCTCCTGCTTCCGGTGCCTGCTTGAAGATGTGAGAGCTTAGCTTCTGCTCCTCCTCCAGCCACCTCTGCCACCACACCTCCCCGCCAACGATGGACTCTTGCCCTGTTGGAACCGTAAGCTAAATAAACTCTTCCTTCTGTAAGTCGCTTTGGTCAGTGTTTCTATCACAGCAACAGAAAGGTAACTAATATAGCATCACTTGCATCAGTTATTCTGTCAAAAAAAACCAATGTGGTGGCAGAGGCAGGCGGGTCTACATAGTAAGTTCCAGGCCAGCTGGGGCTACAAGGAGACCCTTTATCAAAAAGATCAAAAACAAAAACAAGGCCAGAGCACTGTTGGATACAGTGCCATGGATTGGGGGTGTACCATCCCATCCAGCCCTCCATAATCTAGTTATGACTCATCTAGCCTCAACTATGCCTGCATGTTGAAAGGATCTTGAGAGGCTATCAACTTTATAAGTTCCAATTTCACCCAACCTCACTCTCCAAGCAAAAACTCTCCAACAGTTGGTGTGGGGAATGACTGCCCACCCCTAGGATAAGCTTAGTCTTTTCTTAAAACGATTTTTATTCATGTGTATGTATTTATGTGTGAAGGTATGCAATTTTTGTGTGGGTGTCCACAGAGGCCAGAAGAGGGCATTGGACTCCCTGGAGCTGGCATTCCCAGCATTTGTGACTGGCCTGACATGGATGCTGGGAACTGAACTCCACTTCTCTGAAGAAGAGCAAATGTATTAGCCTCTATCTACCTCTACCACATTCTGAACTGAGGTGGGCACCAGAAGTATGTCAATGTGTTTGATTCCGAAGGCCAGTATGGCCGAGGCAGCTGCCATGGAGGCATGGTCAGAACTGAAGAGTTGAGTAGAACAGGTGAGTGTCCTGCAGTGGTATGGCCAAGGGGAGAAGAGAGCACCCCGGACACCTGCCTGCTACTATCTATAGCTTGTGCCCTTGTCCCCAACATAGCGGCTCCAAAGGTCCCAGGAATGGAGGTGGTAGAGTAGCTATCAGGATCTAATTTGGCCCTCCAATAAACCTACAATGTTCCAGCCCCAAGAGGGCACTAGCTAGGCCAGCAGAAGCCAGATGTTACCTCAGAACTTGGGATTATTTATGCTCTCATCCCCTAGAAAGCCCTTTGGAAGTCAGTGGGTAAGTTCTGTATGCTAGTACAGAACAGGTATGCATTCCCTGAAGGTCCTGGTGGGGGCCATCAAGCGGCTGCCAGCCATACTGTCTCCTTCACTGCACGGAAGGGGGAGGAGACAAACCAAGGTGTTAGAGACGCCTCACACAGAAACGAGAAATAGAAAGCTATTTTATTAACACGCTTTACATTTACAGTTCATTAGCTAATCAACAACAACATGCAAAAATAAGCGCTAGATACAAACCTCTACAATATGGTTTTGTGTGAATTACAACGGTTCATTTGTTTTGAAAACCCGTCAGTACTTATTTCAGCTGAACTATCAGTTTTTGTAATGAAAAGCATTTACACTCTAGGGCTACAAAACCACCCAGCAAGGCCTCTGCAGAAACTCGGTCCAGTGGCTTTTCCAGTGAATACATTCTCAAAGCAGGAGATAAGGCGGAGCTGGAAGGTGAGATACAAACCTGCGCACACTGACAGCCCCACAGACACCCTGGCCCTGTGGACAGAACTTCCTCAAACAGCAGCCCAGGGCTGTGGTGGATGGGTGGCGCTTTGGCAGCAGCTCAACAGTGAAGTCAGGAAAGGCCTTGTGCACCGCATCCCGTCACTACAGCCAACCTGGCGTGGCCAGCACCTCATCCAGGCGAAGGCCCACAGGAGGGCAAAGGACCAGCCTGTATCACAAGCTCCCCAAGTCTCATCACTAGCAAAGGAAACAGAGAACCCACTTCCGAGATGTTCTGGATCTCCCTAGGTATTCAGATCACGCTGCAGACAGTTTCCTTAGAGAGGCGCAAGAACTTGCAGAGGCGTCAGTCGACTTACGTTACAAAATCCTACCAATCAAATGCTGTTCTCAAGCACAGACTTATAAAATCTCACTTCCTCTCTTTCTAAGAGTATTTGTCGTTGCTCACTGATCTTTGGTTGCAAGAAACAAACGCCGAGGGAGGCTGGGGTCTGGGGTCAGGACAGGAGGGTGTGGCCCCACCTACCATAGCCCCTGGCCGGGGGCATGCACTTGGCAACCCAGGCCTACATGATGTACACCTTCTCAGCTTGGGAGAAGTGGAAGACTTCTTTGGTTCTTGGGCAAACAACTTTATCATCTTGACGGATAGAAAGTAGAGACTGAAAAACAAGACCAGAATTTTGCATAAAAATGAGAAAATGCAACAGAAAGTTAAGCTCCGCATTAATATTCCACGTAACAGAGAATAAGCCATCTAATCTTGCACATACACTTCCTGAAGGCACACCTGTCCTAGAAAACCTGGGGTTATTCGAATGTGGTGCTACCCCACCCCGGGATCCCCTTACCTCCACACAGCTGCCCAGCCCACCCCCCATCTCTGACCATCTGGGCTCCTCACATTGTAGCCGTAGACATAGCCATTGGGCAGCATCATGGGTGGGTTGTTCTCATTCATCACATCACCAGAGATCTTGCAGACCAGGCGGGAGTTGGCACAGTGAGCCATGGGCAGGGGCTGCGCTAGTTTGTTCAGCGAGCGGCTACACACGGGGCAGTCGGGGCTCTTGGAGCTGCCATCCTCCTTGTAGCACTGTCTGTACATGGAGTTAAGGAAGGGCTACAGCCTCAGGTCAGCAACAAGGCAGGCTTGTTGTGGCCCTCACTGCTTGGACATACAGAATCCTCATAGTCACTGGGGCACCACACAGAAACAAATAGGCTGACATTCAAGGCGAAAATGATGCTGCATGCAACACAGCAAATGCCTACCAAGGCCCGACCCAAAGCAAGTCACCACATCACCACCCCAGTGGGACCACAGTGCCCTGGGTACTATCTAACTCCCTTATCTAACTCCAACTTCCTAGGAAGGGCAGACAAAAGGTGAGATGGGCATTCTGGTGGACCCTCAGAAGGCATGGGTAAAACACATGCTTATTCCCCAGAGTTCACCAGAGATGGTTAGAAGGCTGGGCCTCGAGGCAGGTATAAGTTGTGATCCCAGAGCAGCCACAACCTTGTAGGATGACTAGTCACATAGAAAATGGGAGGAGTTGGCTATGTATACAATTAGGCCTGCCAAAGAGAAACAAGTTCAAGAACACAGGGTCAGAGCCAGTCAGTGAGGTAGGGTTTAGTCACACAAGGGATGGGAGGCACCAAATGAAGGAGGGTCAGCTACGCAAGTGAAGAGCGTCAGCTACAAGGGGAACAGTCAGCCACCTGAGACAAGAGTCTACCACGTGAGAGACCGTCATCCACACAAGTGAGGGGAGTCGATCACAGGAGGGACTTGACTAGCCACACAAGGCAGGGGCATCTTCCACAGGAGGGTGGGTTTAGCCATGCAAAGGATGGGTCAGTCACACTCGAGACAGTCTACCAAATATAAACAAGGAGTCAGCCTGTCTTGACTCTCCTGAGAAGGGAGCCTGCCTCCCTGCCAGAGAGGTACGACCATTGTTAAGTCAAGAGAATTCTTGGGAAGCCAGTATCATATGCATGGCAACATTTGAGATGGAAAACCCATACAGGCACACAGACCAAGTGAAGCCTGAGCTGCTGGGTCTGAGAGTCTCTCAAGTGCCAACTCAAAGGACACAGGACAGTGGTCTTCCTATGGTGGGACACGGCATCTGTCTTCAGGACAGAGGACAGGACAAAGTGGGGAGGATACGGTGTCTTTATCGCTGAGAGCCCAGCTTGCAAGGTGAGGGTGAAGACAGAGCTGTTTCCCAGCTGGTGCAGTCGGTAGTTATCGTATCGGAACTGCTGGATCAGCATTCGCCACCGAGCCGGGTCCAGGAGGTCCTGGAAGACAATGTGGCAGTTCTTTGGACCCTTCCCTGGCAGTTACTGGGAGGCCCAGTCAGTACAGTTGACCAGAGAGTCCTGACAACGAATGCATGACCCCTACTTTCTAAATTTCCTGAACACCCTTTGGTGTGCATCCTGTGGCCTTGTAACAATAAATGGAGTCACAGCATTACTGCTGAAAAGAAGGCTCATTTTAGAGAAGACATGCCAGATAGAAGACCATGGATGCCCTCAGCTCGGAATACTAACCGTGGTTAATGTGTATGAGACAAAGAGTGCATATGCACATGAGAAGGAGAGGGAAAACCTGGGCATGAGCCGGAAAGGGCCCTACCCTGTGGGGAGGTAGTCACCAAGGCACCTAGGCTATTCTGTCAGTGCCCCACAGTCTTGGTTTAGGGTGACATCACATTTCACTTCTACCTTTTCGTAAAAATGTTGCTTTCAGTATTACTTCTATATAAGCAGTCTACAGGGAGTAAAACTTGGTCTGGGAGGCTCTCATAGAAGGGACAGCATCTGCCCCAGGGCCCTCCTGAAGCCCACCCACTTTTCCTCTAAAGGAAGCTTCCTCTTTGCCTTCACTAGTGCCCTGCTTCTTCCTTCAAGTCACAACATCACTTCTCTCAGTTTTTTCAGTCTGCCCCCAAACCAAGGCTTTCCCAGGTGATCTTGGTCTTGTTCTTTCTTTTTTTTTATTTTGGTCTTTTTGAGACAGGGTCTCCCTGTAGCCTCAGCTGGCCTGGAGCTCACTATGTAGACCAGGCTGGCCTTGCACTCACAGAGATTCGCCTGCCTCTCCCTCCCAAGTGCTGGGACTACGGGCGTGGGCCACCATGCCCAGCTTGGTCTTTCTCTTTCATGTCACCACATTTTTGTCACTATCATGAAGTCATAGGGGTATGCTGTGCCCATTACCCTCCAGGCCTTGACAACATGAGGGGGATTTTCTTTGTGCTCAAAGAGGTGGGACCGCAAGCATGACGCCTGCCTGCACTGTGAGGCCTCACAGGAGAGAAGCATGGTTCACGTAACTCAGGCCCAAACCAAACATTCTCCCCTGAAGAGAAGAGAAACTCAAGACACTAGTTTATATGTTTAGGCATGCCTGATGGCATTTCACTGTGAAACCACCTATACCTAGTAAGCTGTGTGGGCTTACTGGGATCCAGAGCACATCTAGCAGTGTCAAGGAGGTACTGGTTTGGTCTACCCAGGCATGCTTGTACCATAGGTTGGGCTGCAGGGAAGACATGCAGGTCTTTCACAGACTAGGCTCAAGGCTCAGGGAACAAACCGTAGAACTCTGTAAACACAGCACGCACCTAATGCCTTCTGAGGTCTTGGCTTGGTGAGGCTACGCTGAGCAAGAGTAAAAGCCACAGGCTGTTCACTCAGGGCTATTGTGAGCAATGGAGCATGACCACATCCTCTCCTACCACGGGCCAGAGAGCAGGGGGCTTAGAGCAGCAGACCTGCCAGGAGTCCAATGCCAGCACCAAGGAAAAGACCAGGAGCCAAGAACAGCAAGGTCACCACCAAGACCCTGTAGTGCCCCTAAGACCCAGATCCCTGACCTTACTGAAGAACAAGGGAGTCAGTAAGAGCAGAGCACAAGACAGGGTGCTGCTGTCTGAGAGGGAGTGCAGAGGAGGATCAAGGGGAAATGGCAGGTGGTACGAATCCCGAGCCTGCCAGGCTAGAGCCTGCTGACCTCTGCCCTAAACCTCTCAGCAGCAGGATGGAAAGCTTGGTGGATTACAAACCCTGAGGCTTCAGGAAATAATGACAGATGGGTCCTCAAAAGCTGCCAGCACCCTCTAACCTACTTCACAGGCCCCCTGACCCAAGACCAGCATGAACCTAATGAACAGGGTCACAGACATTACCTTGTACGGGGAGATGTGCGTATCTGGCGGGAAGGCCAACATGCCCATGACCTGGCGGACCTCATCCAGCTGGCTCCCTTCAGCCTGACTGAAATGCTTTCTTGCATGTCTGAAAAACATTTTGACACACTTGAGTTTGCATTTCCAACTTTTCGTTCATTCGTTCATTTATTTGTAAACCTGAAGAAGTCAGAAGACAACTTGTGGGAGTTGGTTCTCTCCCTCTACCATGTGGGCCCCAGGGATCAAACATAGACTGCCAGGCTTGACAGCAAGTGGTTACATTGAGCCATCTCACCAGTCCTGCATTTCCAACTTTAAAGATCTAGGCTAACCATCCCTTCAGAGTCTGGCATAGGGGAACCCCACCTCTGAAGATCTGCTGAGTGGGGCCTGAGGGGACCAGGCCCAAGGACTGACAGTCTAACCTTTTTGATTCTAAAATTGTGCAAAACAACTCAGACCCTCAAAGGCTATCATCTGCGTGCCTGTTCATCATGTATAAGCACACAAACTGTGGTCTTCCATGTGTGATACACATAGCTGGCTCTTGACAAGAGCCTGTTCACCTGGAAGGGCTGTACAGTCAGGAACAGGAACATGGAACTCTCCTGTCAGCAACTCACTCTGAGGGGCTCAGGCCTACACACCTTCCTGCAGGGCCTCAGATACTGCCACATCCTCTACACCCTGAGTGTTTCAGTGTTTCCTGCAGAACCAGCTCCCTCTATTCAGGGGCCAGTGGCATATAAGAACTCATGGAGTTCCCAAGTCCCCATGAAGTTCAGCCCTGTACTATGGTCATAAAAAATGGAGCTGGAGGGTCCTTGGAGGGGAGGGAAGGGTAATAAGGTAGGTGCCTGGATGGAGAATGGAGTTGGCATAGGTCACCAAGTAGCCTTTGAGGGATAGCAAGATGTCCACAAGGCCAGAGGAAGTAGAAGGTGTACCCAGGCTTAGGATACAACCAGTCCATACGCATGACCGTCTATCCAATAGGGCAAGTCATGAGCAGAGGCTAGCAGTCCAGGAGTCTGATATGCTAATCCTATGGTAAAAGAACTAATCATGTTTTAATGAACATCACAGACAGTATAAGAAACAAGCAAGCAAACATGTTGCAGTTTGGCTCTTTAATGTCTCCCAATAGCCATAGGGTGAAGACTTAGTCCCCAGCCTATGGCATTATTTGGAGGTGTGGACAGTTTAGGAGGTACAGCCTACTATAAGTTAGGTCACTTAGATGTATTCTTAAAGGGATGGTGATACCCTTCCTGTTTCCTGGATGCTGTAAGTTAAGCAGTCCACCACCGCTTCTGCATCCTGTTCTGCCTCAGCACAGGTGCCAAGCAATGAGACCAAGTGACCATAGATAGAAAATATAAGCAAACTGAGTCTATTCACTTCTGAAGTTGTTTGCCTTAGGAATATATTTCCTTAGGTATTTGTCACAGTGATAAACTGGCATACAGGGACCTCAAGTTTCTCTTTGAGAACATAAATGTGAGACACCCAGAAAGTTAAATACTTGAACCAGCCAGTCAGCCCCCATATTTCTGAGCAGAGCAACAATCTCCCCATAATGCTATGAAGACACAGGCCAAGTCCCAGGCACCAAGCACAGTGGCCAAGTCTACACGCCCACCTGTTCAGGAGGCTGAGGCAGGAGTACTGCTTGAGTTCAGAAGTTTGAGGATAGTCTGGGCAACACAATGTGACCTCTATTTCTTAAAAATGAAACAAATAAGAGGTTGGGACTGCACCTCAGTGGTAGAGCACTTGCCTAGCATGACCAAGGCCTAGAAAGAAAGGAGAGGCCAGGAGTGGTGGCACACGACTTTAATCCCAGCACTCAGGAGGCAGAGGCAGGCAGATCCCTGTGAATTCCAGGCCAGCTGGGGGCTATAGGGAGACCCTGTCTCAAAAAAAACCCAAAAAAAATGCCAGTTTCAAATATATAATGTAATCATATTTGGGACTGGAGAGAGGGCTCTGCAGTTAAGAGGACTGACTGCTCTTGCAGAGAACCCAGGCTCAATTCCCAGTGCCCACATGGCAGCTAATGACTGTCTGTAATCAGTCCCAGGGGCTCTGACGCCCTAGGAAGGAAGGAAGGAAGGAAGGAAGGAAGGAAGGAAGGAAGGAAGGAAGGAAGGAAGGAAGGAAGGGGGTCAGGGGAGAGCACACATAAACACATAGGCAGCTCATGCTCTCCTTTATAAATGCATGAGGCAAGGCAGAGCGACCCCGTGAGGTCCATGGCCAGGGCTCGTGTGCCCTACCTCCACTCCCCTGCTCCAGGGGACAGCAGTTCTGGGTACACTAAAAGCTAACCCTGAGCTAAGCTTGTAGGACTCTCTGCTCCCCACTCAGGCTGGTGGTGGAGAAGGGAGCCGTTCCTTGGGCATGTACTCATGCTGGAAATAGCAGGTCATCTTGTCACTGATCTACCACACAGCCCTGGCCACAGTGCTCTCCTGCTCACAGCTGTAGGACTAACTGGTAAGAGTCTGGTGAAGCTGTAGACAGAGAACCCTGGCAACAGAAGCTACTGCTGTCAGCCTTGGCTTGCACTGACCAACATCCAGGGTGGGAACCAGGAAGGTTTTCTAAGGCTGACTGGAGGCAAATAGTTCAGGGGAAGGAATGGGAATCGGTGCATGGCAACCTTCTCTGTGACACTCCATTCAGACAAGGCTGAGTAGGTGTGCCAGCTGGCCTGCCCACCCTTATGCTCAACTGCTAAGAAACCTGATAAGAACCTGCTAGGTAGAGGCTATGTGGGAAGCCTCTCTTCCTTGTATCCTTAGGTCAAAGACAGACCTCATAAGCTCAGATGTGCCTGCAGAAAGCCCTCAGGCATTATTGGTGTGATCATGCTCTCAGCTAGCCAAGAAGGAAATTTTAGATTCAGGTACTTTGAACTGATCAAGGGCCAACCTCTTGGGGCACACTTGCTGAAGCAAACGACTCCTTCCGAAGTGGACAAGTTTACATAGATGGCTGGGATACCCATCTGGCTCACCTAACAGCCATGAGGGTCTGGAATGTCACACGAAACTGCCAGCAGAGCAGGGGGCCCTCAACCCCTGGCTTGAGAACACCAAGATGTAGGTGGTATGTAGAACTGGGACCATCAGACTGAAGTCCCCTAATACCATGCTTTCCTCCCTCTCCAGCATCCAGACTGTGAGGATGGGGCAAAGGGAGTGGCAGCTGAATGTCCCACCCTACCATAAGGAACAGCGTGCACAGAACATCCTACCTCACAGCATCCAGGCGCTTGTTCTGTCGAACAAGCTCAATGAACTCCTGAATCCTGAGGCTGAATTCCAGGCAGCTCTGAGGGCAGAGATAAGATGAGGGTTAGCGGGTGCAACCAGTCAGCAACGCCACGACCCAGACATCTGGGCATCAGAACCTACAGGTCCTGTAAGCTCTGTCACCAAAGCTCAGGACATCCCCACAGATGCTGGGAGGCAGTGCTATGACCAGAGTCTTTGCTCTGATGTGCAAGAGACACTCTGTGGCAGGACCAGCACATTATTAGTGGTTGAAGAGGACCTGCATGATAATGCATCACCAAGAAGGGCAGCACCCAGAGACTGTCACCAGCTCCCAGGTACATAGAGTCAGGCAGGTGACTATGAGAAAGCCCTGCCAACTCTCTGTAGGGAAGAGGGCTTTCCAGGTCCCCTCGGTTATAATCCAAATTCTATAGCCTACGATTACCATAAAACCCTTTTCCCTACAGGTGTTTTCTCCCCACCGCCCCCACCAGACCTCAAACTCCGCACACTTCCTGTCTGTCCTGGAAAAATCCGCATAAGCTTTTGACTCAGGATACTGATACCTTGGTGGGAAGGAGAACAGTATCCCAACAGCGGGTCTGAAATAGGTTAGCTAGAAGATAGTACCCCAAAGGAATTGACAGGGAACACTCAGGCAACATATGGGTGAGGGGCTGGACAGGGAAAGTTTCTAGGCAGCAGCAGAGCCAGTACAAAGACCCTGGGACAGGAGGACAAGGTGCCTGGAGCAGCAAATCTCAACTCCAAGGAAGTTAATGTTCCTGTAAAGAATTTAAGATCTAGGCTGGTGGGGATTAGGAGATGGATGAGTGGGTGGTTCCCATGAAGGACAGAAGCTCTAAGATTTCCAAAGTTGTGAGCAAGGTCTGAGGTCAGCACTGCAGGAAGGAGGGGGCTACTGACTGTCCAGAAGTGCTGCAGTGACTCTTGGGGACAGTACAGAGGATGCTGGTGGATGCATCTACAAGAACAGAGCTCACTTTAAAACCAGCCATGGGGCTGGAGAGATGCTCAATGGTTAAGAGCACTGACTGCTCTTGTAGGGGACCAGGGCTCAGGTCAGTTCCCAGCACTCACATGGTGGCTTACAACCATCCATAATGCCAGTTCCAAGGGATCCAATGTCCTCTTCTGGCCTAGTGAGCACTGCACATGTGGTGCACTTACATACAGGCAGGGCAAAACACTCACACACATAATTTTTTTAAAAAATTGGTAACAAAAAATTAAAATAACAGCCATATCAATCCAATGTGGGCAGGAACTCCAGAGACTGGGGTGAAGCGGGCAGAAGGAAGTAACTGCTGCAAGCTCACATGGAAAGCCCCCCTTCACTATGCAGGTAACAAGCTAAAGATCTGCAGGGTATCAGGGAGGAGAGCACTTAGCCATCATGTGCAAAGCTACCTATAAACACAGCACTTAGGAGTCTGAGGTAGGACTTTGGCAAGTTTGAGGTAACCCTGGGCTACACAGCAAGACAGTAGCTTTAGCACACACTCTCTTCTGGCTAGAAATAGGATAAGGACATGAGAAGCTGGTCCAAGGCCCTTTACCCCATTCCCTAACTCCACATGTTCCCATTGCAATGGCATGAGCAGATGCATCACATGGCAAGTAAATCAACCTCAATGAGAATTTCGTTTTTGTTGGTTTTTTGTGGGGGGGGGGCAGGACCCCCCTATAGCCCCAGCTGGCCTTGAACTCAGAGATCCTCCTGCCTCTGCCTCTCGAGTGATGGGACTACAGGTGTGTGCCACCATGCCCGGCCATAATGAGAACTTTAAACTCCACTTCCCGATGCTATGTCCTCTCACACCTTGCCTCCTCTGGCATCCGATTCCCGTGTCCCATCTTCACAAGACCACAGTGGACACACTGCACCTGCATATGCATGCTGCTGCTTCAACCTTGCTTCTTCTAACTGGGGAGGAACATGGAGGGGTGACTGCTCTTCCTGATCACTGCCCTGCACCCTCTGACCCCTCTGTACCAGGAGGAGGACCAAGCAGACAAGAAGCAGAATCTAAATATGTCCCAAGCCAGAGTAGGAGCCTCCTGACTTGAGCAATGGGTAGCAGGCTTGGTACATTCAGGAAAGACAGTGCACCCCAGGCCTCCCTACGAACACCCTGGCCCCACAGATCCGTAGACAAGTGTTTTATGGGCCTTCTGTTCCCGAAGCCCGGCCAGTAGGAGCTGAGGGTGAGTCTATACACTGGAGCCCCAAAGAAGTCCCAGAGTAACTAACTGTTCCTTCTACAGCTGGTGGGCACCAGTGAGCTGTTTAAAAGCATGAAGATACTGCACAGAAATGAGAAAAGCAGTGTTTCTTTGCTTTGCCTTAAACCTGTCTATTGTTTAGGAGCAGTATTTGTTTTAACATTTAACTTTCAAACAGTCCACCAATGCACACATAAGTGCCCATTTGCTATGGAAATCACATTTCCAGACTTGAATCTAAAACACTTCCAAGTCATGCCAACAGTAACACTAGCCACCCTGTTCATTCTCCAACAGCTGGAGCCTACACACTTAACACTTTGCCTGACTTCTAGGCATAAGGCTTCCAGGTTTCTATTTCAGTGTCCTGCCAGCTCCAGAGTCCTGAGCCAATTCAGATATTTGTTTGGTACCCTATCACTGTAAGTTATTTTCCAATTCAGTGAAACTGAGTCTCAGATCCTATCCAGATCTTGTGTCTGATCTACAGGACCTCAGTGCAGTGTGACTCCTCTGATCCCTCCCCGGTGTCCCGATATAATGGGAGAGCACATGTGTATGTGTAGGCTATACAGATAAGATACATATCCCGCCGGCTGAGCTTACCATTTGTGACAGGCAAGCCTGCTCCCGGCACCTTCAAGTGTTGCTGGAGAGATGTTGACATTCCCTCCTACCTGACTTCTCAAAGACACCAACGCAATGCTCACTTACTAGCATGCATTCAGCACCTGTGCTTCTCAGGCCTTATCTACCCAGAGCTTCCACCACCAGCCCACATGGAGCACCCACAGCCAAGTTCAGCAAGCTGGTAGATGCACTGCCTGGAGGGGTCAGAGCTTGGGAGATCACCTCATGGAATAGATCACCACCAACTCCTACAAAAATGCCCAGCGTTCCTTCTTTGGGAGGGAGTGGGGGTGGAGCTGAGCAGGGCAGAGTGTTACATACCAATTCTGGCTTTCCTTTTAGGGGTTCCATACCAAGATCCTCACTCTCTTTAAGGGAGCCACTGGCGGCTCTACTCTTTCGTCCCGTCTTCGCCTCGTGCTCGCTTTGGCGGCCCTGAGTGGCAAAGAGTGTCACTCTTGGCAGGTGACTACGTGCATCCCAACAAGCTCAACCAGAGAGGTTAAAGCAGCACTCGGTTCAGAAAACAGCACAGCTCCCCTCATGGAGGCAGGGGCTGTTAATGAAAGCTAACATGTTTCGGCAAGCCATAGGATGACAGGTTTTTAGCGAGCAGGTTTAAGTTCTGTGGTTTGTGCTTTAGAGTCCTTCAGAAGTACAAAATACACATTCAGTAGAATATCACAGCCCAGAATGGGCCCTGCAGCCTGCCTGGAGATGATGTCCTCACTGCATTCCTTGTCTGTGACCAAGTGGGGAGCCCAGAAGCTGCCTCAGCTCCAAGAGCAGCGGCCATGAGCACGCTGCATGCTTGATGGGGCTCCACACCTCACTCCTGAACCAAACCCCAACACAAGAGGCAGCCCCTCGGGGCTTTTATCTGAAGGCAAAACCCTACCACCAAAACACCTTTAACCCCACCCCACCTAACAACTCCATCTAACAAACCAAAACCAAAGGCCCGCAAAAGCAGATGAGGGTGTGATAGTCCTGGGCAGGTGGCACAGCTTCTAACCCCACCTTGGCCCCTCTCTCAGCAGAGTGCCACCCCCACCAGATGCCCAGCCCAGAAAGCCCATGCACCTTCATCTTCCGGAGTCGGGACTTGTTGTCGTGGCACCAGGCAAGGCAGGTGGCAGTCTCACGCCTCTCCAAGGACTCTTCCACTTCTTTGGCTGTCAGGAACATCTCGATATTCACAAGGTCCTTAGGGGAAGGGGTGGTTCAGGTCACAACATGTCTGTGGCCTACCAGTAGGGCTGACTGGTTTTTCTACCCTCTTCCACCCCAGTGTGAGGCCCAGGCTCCCGTTCAGAGTGCAGGCTTGGCCCCAGCACCCCCTATCCTTACACTCCAACCTGTCCAGGGTACTGCTCATGGGCAGGTACCCAGGGAGTAAGACACCAGGTAACAAAGAAGGCCACAAGGACTGGGAACGCTGCATGTGGCAGACGCCTACTGGGGCAGGATACATCCTGCTGTAATGAAGAAGGGCCAGCAAGGAACACAAGTGCTGGCCTGTCATAGATACATACAAGTCGGCTCCTAGCACAAAGCACACAACTACCTGCCCCTAGAACAGAGCACAGACCCCTCTAAACCTAGCACAGGGTGCAGCTCTTCTGTGGTTAATCTTGCCAATTTGATGGGATTTAGAATAACCACGGAAATGAATCTCTGGGCCTGTCTGTGAGGGATTATCTAGATTAGGTAAATTGAAGGGGGAACACCCACCAACCTTAAATGTGGGGTCTAAGACTAAAAACGGGGAAAGGGAGTTGAGCACCAGCACTCATCCCTCTCTGCTTCCTGACTGTGGATACAAATAGCCAGCTACCCCCGTCTCTGCTGCCACATATTCCCCGAAACGATGGGCTACATCTCTTGGAACTCTAAACCAAATTAAGCTATTATTTCTTCCTTAAGTTGCTTTGTCAAGTATTCTGTTGCAGCAACAAGTAAAGTAGCTAATCCCTCCCACCCCTAGCAAATCCCCCAGCCCAGGGTACAACATCTCCATGTTCAGGTTCTCTTTTGCTTTGTTTACTCTAAACACATGATGTTTGGAGGAGGGGGTAGGAATGGTGTACACTACCCCTCTTGTCTGCTCTCTGAGAAGGGCCCAAACAGCTAATCTGCTGAGAGATCTCACAGGGCCCAGCAAGACTAGTGAGAGTGAGTAAGACAAAGGGGACATGCGCACCACAGAAAGGCAAGGAAAACTGTCCAAAGAAAATGGAAATTGCTTTGTAAAAAATCATTTTTAAGGGCTAGGTGTGGTGGCAAAGGCACCTTTAATCCCAGTTCTTAGGAGGCAAAGGCAGGTGGATCTCTGTGAGAGACCATGATCTACGTATCGAATTCCAGACCAGCTGGGGCTATACGGAAAACTTGTCTCAAAGAAAACGATAAATAAATCTTTAAAAAGTTTTTTAATTACATTTATTTATTGGGGGGGTATCACAGGACAACTTGCAGGAGTTGATTCTATCCTTCTATAATGTGATCTCCTGGAGACTGAAATCAGGTTGTTCAGTTTGGTGGCAAGTGCCTTTACTAGCTTAGCCATTTCACCAGCAAAAACACATTAAAATCGTTTTCCAACTAATAAGTAGACCACCAACACAGAGCAACCAGTTGAGCCATGTGCAGTATTCTCTGGCCAGGATCTGCAGAGACCTGATGTTCCTCCTGCCAGGCCCTGTGACCAGGGTTGACCAGGGGGTCCTGGTTAGCATCATGCCACAAGTACAAGTATGTGTGGAACAATGACCATGGGAAAAAGGAGGGAATTGAAGCTGTGGGCAGCTCAGGTCCTTAAGAGTCACGGCTAGGCAGACTATGCAGACCTAGCTGGTGGGCACAGTGTAAGGCACAAACTTTTAAGTAAAAACAATCATAATAAAGACTTCTTATTTAAAGATAACCTGGGGCAGGAGAGGTGCCTTAGTGGTTCAGAGCACTTTTCTGGACCCAGGTTCAGTTCCCAGCACCCACATGGGAGCTAACAACCTTTGGTAGCTCCGGTTCCAGGGGATCTGACATCTCGTCTCCAGGGGGATTGTATGCACGTGGCACACTCACATATGTGCAGGCAAAACATTCACGCACATAAAATTGGAAAAAAAATTTTTAATGATAACCCTAACAGACAGACAGGGCCGACGCTGATGCATTAAAACCAAAGGCTGGGTGAGCATGAAATGGCTCAGTGGGTAAAGCCATTTGTCACTAAGCCTGACAATGCGAGTTCAATCCCCAGGACTCACATAGTGGAAGGAGAGAACTGACTCCCAAGGGTTGTCCTCTCATCTCCATACATGGGCCATGGCATGCACGTGTCCCCTACCCACAATAAAATAAGTGTAATAAAAATTAAAATGCAAAACCAAAAATCAGTGGCTTACGAGAAAAAAAGATAACCTAAATGTTCAGCACTGTAACTGTGGTGGCCAAGCATAAGCTGAGTGCTCAGTGTCCAGCTGCAGTCATAACTAGTGATCACTAGCCAGGGGCAGGAAAGCAACAGGTCTTCTTCTGGCTAAGTGGGCGTGTCAGACTTCAGGGGCTCTTGTCAAGATCACTGGCCTGGCTTCCACTGGGGTTCCTGAGGCACCACCAGGCTAACAGAGCAAGCTAGTTGTGATCCCCAATGACTACTGGGGCATCACAGCAGGTGGAGGGTGGGAAGAACATGATGGCAACACAGAACAGTATGTGACACAAACACAGGCCTTCAGAAACAAAGATGAACAGTAGGACTGGGAGAGAAAGAGGGGACGGACTCATCTCTCCCTGGGGAACTGGGCAGGTGTTAAGTTTTGTTAAATTATTATTAAAATCACTAGTAAGGGGCTGGAGAGAATTTAGTGGTTAAGTGTGTGCCTTGCAATAGGGTACTGCTCACCTCTGTTCCTAACACACTGGTGCCAGTAAAGCCAGACTCTGGGAAATGTGCCCCATTCGAGGTAAGACTCAAAATGCTCCAAACAAAAAGCGACAGAAACAGGCCTGCACGCTTGACCACAGGAAGGTCAGGTACATGTGCACATGCCCTTTTCACATTTTCTCTAATCAGCATAGGTTCAAGGTACCAGAGGTCAATGAAGAGCACAGGGAACGTTACTGAGGCCCTTGGAACATGCACCAGAAGCCACAAGCGTGGGCAGAGGTCAAGCTCACACTGACACGCAGCTGGGACCTAGGGGGACAGGAATCTTACTTGCTGCTAACCAGGCCAGGGACCAAGAATACGTGGTGCCCACCTCAATGCCACTCTGGCGAGCCAGCTTCACTGCTGTGTTGTAGTAGCCACAGCGCAGCAGGTGCTCCACCATCATGCGGTCCATGCGCTTCCGTTTCCACATGCTGGCTGCTGCCGGCTGATCACTGCTATGTTCCTTGAGGTGCTCAATCCTGCGTTTGCAGAGCTTGGCACTCTCATCCTCAGCCTGGATGGACTCCACCGCCTAAGCCATGGCAAAGACACGCTAAGGGTGAGTTCAGCCCATGACCACCCAGCACAAAAACACATGGGCTCCCCTCTGAATGTCCATAAAGAGACAAGCAAAGTAAAAGCAGAAGCTGGTGGCACTGCTGGACTGTAACAGAAATAAAAGAAATCGGGTTCTACATTTGTATCTGGGGTGAGTCTGTGTGAAACAGTGATTACTGAGAGGCATGCTAGGGTCTATCACTTCAGGAGCTTGCAGAGCACACCTGAAGCCCTGGGTTCAATCCCTACCTCCCTCATAAAGGCCTACCACTTTATGCATGTGTATTTTCTTCCAGTTAAAACTATGTCGTCAAATGCTTACAATTTGTTGTACTTTCTTGGTTAAATTACTTATTGTGACTTTTTAAGTGACTTTTTTTTTTGGTCTTTTTGAGGCAGGGTCTCCCTGTAGCCCCAGCTGACCTGGAACTCGCTACACAGACCAGGCTGGCCTCGAACTCAGAGATCCACCTGCCTCTGCCTCCCAATTGCTAGGATTAAAGGCATGCGCCACTTTTAAGTGACTTTTTAAAAAAATATATTTTATTTATTATTTTTACATGTATGCGTGTATTGCCTGCACGCAGGTAAGTGCACCCGTATCATGCAATGCCCGCGCAGGTCAGAAGAGGCTGTCGGATCCCCTGGAACTGGAGTTACAGACAGCTGTTAGCTGCCATGTGGGTGCTGGGATTTGAACCCAGGTCTTCTGCAGGAACAACCAGTGTTCTTAACTGCTGCGCCATCTCTCCAGCCCCTGTAAGTGACTTTAAAACCTCTTATAATATTTTCTTAGTTAATTTTGTTCAAAATTAAATCCTAGGTAGAAATGTTCTTAACAACCTGCACTGCCCAACATGGCTGCTACCATCATGTGTGCCACAGAGGAGTCCCTGGGAGGCCAATGCCATAGAGGAACCAAGGCCCCATGTCATTAGGCATAACTTCTCACAGCCATGGACCTAGCACCACTAAGGCTTTCTGTCCCTGCGTCAAGCTGGCTGCTAGGCTGCAGGTCCTTTTGGGAGTGGGGTCTCCCTTTGGCTGCTGTCAAGGTTCTTCTCCGTCTGTACTCTTTTGAGTTACACTAAGTTATCGTCACCGATCTTAGGTCTTGGGAGGTGGTGACTTCAGCAGCCACTGTCATCCTTGTCATGCCTCTGTCCCCTTCTCTGGGCTCTGGTCAACCATGTGAGAAGTCCTCTCTCATGTGCTTTCCCTTCTTTCTGCACTGCATTCTAGACGATCTCTTCAGAACCACTTTCCAATCCTGGTACTCTACCTCTGAACCACCACCAGCTGACTATATTGACTTACACTTTCTATTCCCTACAGGTTTTCAAACTGTTATCCCCACTTTCCTTAACCCAACATCACCCGTCAACACCTCTCATGTCCAGGCAATGCTCCAGGATAGCTGAAGTCCCTGGGCTCTTCTCTGTCTGACTTCTAATGTGATTTGAACTGGTGATTCCCCTCTAAGGCCTGAGTTCTCTGATCACTTTGAGAACTTTTTAAAAGACAACCTAAGTCTTTAAAAGGGTCATCTGCAGTGGCTAGGTCATTCTGACAGTCCCAGGAGATACCCACAGGCAGTTCTGAACTGAAACTTGACCAGTCTTCTCAGGCCCCAGCTTCCCCATAGGTGGAGATGATCAGGACATACCCAGTCCTCTAGCAGCAAAAGGCCCAGGTATCCGGCCTGCAGTCTGCCTCTGCCCCAACTTCCCGGCCAGGGCCCACTCCCACAGACAACAAACCTTCCTCTTGAGGACACTCAGCTTCTCCACTACACCGTCCAAGAGGCTGACCACAGAGTCCACAGCTGGGCAACTACTCAAGGTCTTCTCCAGCTCAGCTACCACCATGGTGACGTGGCTGGTTTCCCGGTCAATGTTTTTCTGGGCAGCTCGGAAACGCTTGTTCAGTGTCTCATAGGGCACCTAGACAAGAAAAGACAGTGAAAACACTGGCCCTGACCTTCAAGTCACAGCCCAGGTACAGCACACAGGCTTCCTTCAAATCACCTGCAGAGGCAGTCTCAGATGCTCAGGTCTCACAAAACATCTTGTAGTGTGGATGGAGACCCACAAAGCATGAAGAGTGGGGGATAGCCAAAAAGCCTGGAGGAGACTAACATAAAGACACATGTCGCTCTAGTCAATAGATGATATCGGGCCACAATTAAATAATGCCAAAGTTCATCTAGAAAAACAGTTAAGGAAGTGACCCAAGAGTCCAGTAGGGAAGGGAGCTTTCCGTTCAGCCAGTAGAAAACCAGAGATAAGGACCATACTGGGCAAGGCAGTCAGGATGGGCCAGAAGATTACACATCAGTCACAGTTAATATGAAGCCATCAAATTTCATGTGGAATTACAAATGCACATTTATGAATCTTTCACATATCCCAACTGCAAAAAAAAAATCCCATTTCCTACAGAAAATTTGGAAAGTAAGAAATATGTAAACAACTGTCCAGTCACTGACGTCCACTCTGCCCTTCCAGAGAGTCACTCACAACTCTCCTGTTTTCTGGCCCCAGGACTGTGAGCAAAGGCACGCAGGCTGTGCATGAACACCGAACCCCACCTTTGTCTCCCACAAGGTCTGAGGGAAGCACCGTCCATGAGTCAGGTTAAGGTACAGCCACGGCGCACAGCTCTACAGCCAAGCACTGCCGGTTCCATCTCTGCTGTCAGAGCAAACGCACATGTGATCTTGAACTCACCTGGCAACATGAGCAGACTCATGGGGGCTCTATACCCTCAACATGAGGCAGGCACAGACCCTGCACCAGCCAGTCACTGAGCTCACGGTGGGGGCCTGAGGAAGACAGGGATGCAGACAGAGAGACCTAGTTCACCTTGAAACCTGGGCTTCTCAGGAGGAGGGACTGCAGGGGTGACAACAGACAGGGTAAAAAGGCTGACCTCAGACTCTTTCCTAAACCTGCTTTTCCCCACCATCATCCTGGTGCCCTGGTTGCTTTTGTCCAGTCTGCATGCCCCACCATACACACCCCTGGGAGCAACAGGGACCCACTGTGGGGAGCAGAATGCAATATATACTCATTTTGTCTACCCCCAAGGCCTTACTAGTATGAGGCAAAATGCCACTAGGTAAGTCTTGCCTGCTTGTCATGGGATGGGTGTAGCAAAATGACAATTGGCTCTCGCTTGCTGATGACCAAGTAAGTCTTACAATGTTAAGAAGGAGAGACGTAGTCAAATCACACCATGTTTTAATAACTCAACAGAGCAATAAGAAGAGTCCAGTGTGGTCAGTGTGACTGCTGGGACAGGAAAGGGAGCAGGGCTGGATGTGGTGGCACTCTCTCTGGAGGCTGTGCTTCCTGTGCGGCCAGCCTGCTTGGAGCAGTATGGCTGGCCAAAGCACTCTGAAGTTCCCCTCTCACTGCATACTCTGCCCTCATGGGTTCGCTGAAGGATTCGGCACTTCTTACCAAAGGAAAAAAAAAAAGGGAAGGTGGTTGCAAGAGACTCCTCCTTCCCTGTCTATCCAATGGATGAGAATGTCCTTGAAATGTTTAAGCCCCATGCCTCCCCACAGCAGCTCTTAGGAGGACTTAAGAGGAGAGTAGACCCAAGGCTGGGAGTGAGGCTCTAGGAGCCACCTCAAGTCCCTGATGCCCAGATCCCTAAGCCACCACAGCACCTGGAATCTTTCCTGGGTCCAACTCTCCCAAATGCCCTCTCATGTGGGGGGCATCCCATGTGGCAGGCAGCTCAAATGTCTACTCTTCCACCATGATGCAATCCAGCCCACCAGACAGCAAAGCCTACAGTTAGAGAGGCACATCCAGGCATAACGCTTCATGTATACAGCCTTCCCAGGCCCAACACAGTCCAACCTGTGGCCAGGAGGGCCCTCTCTGGATGTCCCTGGCTACCTGAAGACCATTTGCCTCACTGTCAAGCCTATGTAGTGCCAAAACAAGACAAAATGCCAACCACCAGTGAGCTGCAAATATGTGCTGCAGAATACAGCCTCCTGTACTCCACGACCTAGAGGGAAAGCTGTTTTGTCTAACATTATGTCAAAACACAAACTCAAACTTCTGCCCTTCAGACAACAACCTAAGAAAAAGAAAACAGACTGAAAGAGAGCACACATCAGGTACCACCCTTCCCTGGATGATGTAAAACACCTACCAAAAACTTAAGGCTGGAACAGCAACAACCCAATTCACAAAGCAAACAAAAGAGCTAAGCAGAAATGTCACCCAGAAGATCTCCAACACTGCCAATCACCCAGGAAACAAATGAAAACCACAAAAGGAAGTGCAGCAGTCACTCTCAGGTCTGATCAGACCACAGGTGCCCAGACCATGGCCAAAGTAAGACGGGGAGTACCCGTGAGCATTTCTGGATGTGAAAGACAAATGAGCCAGGACTGAGTACAGCAGATGCCTTTGTTCATGTGGTTAGGTCTCATCTGATCAGTTCAGGAACTGAACAGAGCACAAACCAGGAGCCTCTGATTTTACCCTGCTGGGAGGCTGCTACTCAGTTTTCTGGCTTTGGACCTGGAGGCACTGGCTCTCCTTGCGTCTCAAATCAGCTGGCCTTTGGGTTAGAACTCTACTGTGCGTCTTTGTTTCTCATCAGGCATTTGTCTCTAAGAATGCACCACACCTGGCTCTCCTTGCTGCTAGGGAGTTCCCTGCCTCCATACCCCTGACAATTTCCTATTTTTAATCTTTCTTTTCTTTTAAAAATATTTTATTCATTATTTTTATTTTATGTGTATGGGTGTATTGCCTGCATGTAGGTAAGTGCACCTGTGTCGTGCAATGCCCACAGAGGACAGAAGAAGCCGTTGGATCCCCTGGAACTGGAGTTATGGACAGTTGTCAGCTGCCATGTGGGTGCTGGGATTTGAACCCGGATGTTCTGCAGAAACAACCAGTGTCCTTAACTGCTGAGCCATCTCTCCAGCCCCTATTTTCAATCTTTCTATACACATATGTCCTATTGGGCCTGGTTCTCTGGAGAACTTTAGTTCAAAGAACAGTTCCAAGTCAGGTTGATGAAGCTAAGGAACATTTGGTCCCTGTTAGCAGGCAACTGAATAATCCTCTGGGAAATCAGGCAGTTTCTCATGTAAATATAAACCCACGAGATGATGCAGCAATCCCACCCCATGAGGAGGAAACAGAGATTGCCCAGATCAAAGCTCACTGATCTGGATGGGTGAAGAAGCTCTGGAGCTCCACACACAGGAACTGGACCATCAGTCAGGGATGAAGGTGTGGCTGTGCACACCAGAGGAGCCTAGGCCCACGTCCCAGGGCCTATAGGAGCAGGCTCCCCTGGGCACTGCAGGCCCCTGCTGCATCTGGCAATGTGTTGGACATTATTGATTTGTCACAACTGGGTGTGGCTATGAACTAGGTTTTCTGTAGAAAACAAAAACAACCAACTTATCAATCTTCAAAAAAAAGCATAGGAAATGGGAACAAAATAAGATGGTAAGGCCAAGTCCCTGGCATCACTATCATTATGAACCTAGATGGGAAAAGAGAAACTTCTCAAGTGCCTTCTCTCTTTTTTGAGACAGGATGTCATGTATATAGCCCAGGCTGACTTTAACTCAAAATTCTCCTGCCTCATCCTCTTGAATGCTGGAATTACAGGCATACACCACCACGCCTGGCAGAACTGCTTTCTTTTATAAACATCTCTGAGAAATAAAATTAGCTCAAAGGTTATCCTGCACTCACTAGCCTATCATCTACTAAGTCCTAGGGTGATCCCAGCATTGTAAAAGAAAAAGGCAATAAAGCAACAGACCACCACCAGATGCACATCATTTCAAATTTCCTAACAGCCATGACGAAAATTAAAATGAGCCGGGCATAGTGGCACACACCATTAATCCCAGCACTTAGGAGGCAGAGGCACGTAGATTTCTGTGCAATGGAGGTCAGCCTGGTCTACATAGGGAGTTCCAGGTCAAGTGGGGTTACAAGGAGGCCCTGTTTCAAAAACAAAAAAGAAAACCCAAAGTCATCTTAATTCAGAGTATATATTTTCAGTGCTCCCCAGCTGGAGGGGCTTCCAGCAGCATTGACAGGATATACCCCATACGTGACCAGCAATTCCTCAGATCCTCGGCCTCACATCTCTGATGGGTGAAGGTCACAGGCAGAGCTGATTTGATGGGAGCAATAGACCATGCTGGACTTGACCTGGTTACTCAACAGACCTATCCTGAGAGCAACTGTCTCTGTACACAGAGCTTCAAACCACGGCCAGCCAGACCTAGCCACACTACTCATTCAATGGTCAGGCCAAGTCTTACAAGAAATGACAATATGCTATCATTTCTATAATTCACAAACTTAAGTTCTCCCCTTTAAAAGGTACCACTTAGAGGTTTTAGTGTAATTGCGAGGTTGTGGAGCCATTACCACCATCTACTTCTAGAGTGTCTGCATCTAAATGTCATGGTCATCCCTCCAGACTCATGCTCCCATCTATGACCCACTGTCTCTGTGTATTTGTTCTTTGTTCTGGACATTTCACATGGAGGAATCATAGATTTGGCGGGGGTGGGGGGTGGGGGTGGCTTAACATTATTTTTGAGACTGATCCACGCTATAGCATGTACTCGTGCGCAGTTCCTTCTGGCTGATGAGCAATCCTGTATTAATACTTCTGCTTATGCACAGAGACCACCTTTACTTTGGAGCCATCATGAATAAGGCTGTGAACACCTTTGCACAAGATCCTGTGTAAACAGGTTTTACCCGTCTCTCGGGGATATACCTGGCAGTGGAAAATGCTCTGCCTATAAAATCTTGACAAATGCCAGAGGTGCTGTCAAGGCAGCGCCACTATTTTTCACTCTCTTCACTAACATCTGGGAGTTTAGATTTCTCCATGCCCAACAGTAGCTACTATCCATTTTCCTCTTTAG